TCCCTTCTCTAACCCGCGCCGATAGTGTCGACGATTTGGGGGGGGGGCCGAAAAAGTCGGGGTAAACAGGACGAACAAGAAGTAAAAAAAATCGACGAAACCACTGCGCCCATACCGGAAAAAGTGGACGAGACTAGCGCAACGGGAGGAACGCGCAGTATGCTGGCATGATCTAGGCACACTACTAGGGATACTGGTCACAGGCGGGTTTCGGTCTTGTGTCCCCTGCAAACAAAGATAGGGGAGGCTGTCGACGGCCGTTTTGCGACATTCTTTGCTGGGCTGCACCCGTCCCATTTTAATTTTAGCGTGCCGCTTTTGCTGTTGACATCGCTGAACGCCTAGGCGAGACAGGAAGAGCAGTACCAGCAAAAGTCCAGAAGCCGAAAGTGCCAACACAAGACAAGCATCGAAAAAGGAGACAAATGCTTCTCAATAAACAGGTTGACGGGTTGCTCACGTCGCGTTGCTATCGGCGATGGCCATGGTGCACGGTGACTCGAATCTGGACTCACCGAAAATGTGCACAATATGCTCCCTACGCCTGCCGAACAAAACGTTGATGTGCAAATATGCAAATCGTGCGAATTTAGAAATTGTCACGTTCTCCATGACATAATGTGGACTGGCTGTGCCGAACATATTCCCAAACCCTCTGCCCCAATCAGAAGCGCCCGACGCAGTCTTTTCCTTCCTGCGCTTATTCAGGTATTTTGTGCCGCGGTGTTTCCAAGACAGGCTGAAGTATCGTTTGTTCGTCCTGCCCGCCATTGTGTACTTCTTGTTTCATTGTAAGGTAAGAAACATGTCGTCCTGAGGCTGCGAGGCGAAAGCGTGCAGGCTGTCAGAGATGAGTGAGAGACAGATGCTGCACTTTAGCTGTCGTCTATTTTCGGACCTTTTTGTGTATCTTGAATTTGTGCATTTGTCTAGTTCTGCGCGCGCCGTCGCGGCGTGATAATAGTGGACACGCAACTCACTACAACGCAAGTACAAGTCTTGTCGAGGCAGACTGCCAGTGAGGCAAGGATTTTGCGTGACCTGCGACTACTTCTACGGGGACCCGCCCGCCATCCACCTAGACTTTTTTTCTCCCGTTCCTAATCCCCTTTTGCTCTTTCCTGGTTACTTTCACATCCCATTCGTTTCGTTTTACCCACTCCCTTATTTCGTACAACAAACATACTTCCTCCACAGATAGAATACACCCTGGACCCAAGAGTGACTTGTGCCGCAAGTATCTCACATCGCAACCACCAGAGCCCCAGTCCAGCTTCACTAGACAGCCAAGTTCCTTCTCAGCCCTGTGGACAACCGGCGACAAGGAACACACACCGATGAGCTACAACTGTGTTTACACTGCCCCATTGATCACCACTTTTTTTTTGGCTTCCCCTCTTGCTTCTTTTCTTCCTTTTTTGTTCTCCAGCGCCTTTGACCCGACTTTCTTCGTTTCACTCTCTCGCAGCGTCGGCTTCTGCAGCAGCGATAGAGGCGAAACACACGACGATCTACGACGCAAGGGTCGAGTAAAGCCCTCCACACCCGGCCCAGCGATCTCGTCAAGGAACATTCAGAGTATACGTCGTACGGAACGCATGACTGCGATCTGCAAGAAACAGCTGCCACAAGTTAAGTTCGTTCTTTCCACTCGTCGTGTGCATGGTTCTACACTGCAATCGTATTGCTATTTCCTTTTTGGTGCTGAGTGCAGGTTTTGCACTTGCCTCGGAGCAGCAAAAAGGTGAAAGTACAAAGCAGGATGCCATGAGCCAGAGCCGTTCCTCCTGCTTAGGGGGGGCGTGTGAATATGTTTACGAGGGGGCATGTGGCTCACACCCCTAGGAAAAAAGTCTTTCTTCCCCCTCTCTGGGCCACGCATTCTCTTTGGTCAACTCTCATTCGGCCACCTCTACCGAAGTAGCAACCTAGGTGCAGTGGAACAGACGCGCTTTTTGTTTACCAGCGCCTGACAGCCACTGATCGCCTGTCGCTCCTTCCCTTTCTTTTGTTCTTTTTGGTCTCTTTTTTGTTTCCTGTCGACAAATTTTAACACACTTAAAGACGAGGGGAAACGAGAACAGCAGAAAATTTCCCGGTATGCTTAGCCTTTGTTTCGCGGTCTCTCTCTGGCGCGCGCGCTCTCTGTCCTTCCCCTTCCCCAACAGACCAAAACAGGTCTGGCCTCCACTCTCCGCGTTTTTTTGTGTTATTTTTGGGCTTCCTTCACCTTCTCCCCCCCTGTTCTCTTTTTCCACCACAACATCGAAAACCCCAGACCGAGCTTCAATTGCCAATCGACGACCAACTAACAAAAGGACGCCCAGCGACGACACAAAAGGACGATTCTCTGCAGCTCACGGCATTGTCATCAATCGACGACACTCCCATTGTTGCGCGCCTCGACCGACGCTTTGCGCCCATCCACTACCGCAAACGCGACCAAGCTCGTCTTGGTTTCCCCAAGTAACCAACCTGCCCTAGAGCTCCCGAAGCTCTTTTCAGGTGCTTCGTTGTCGCCAGTTTGTGCGACAACCCCCATCACACGTACGTCGTCCGGCCCTTTTGCCTTCTTTTTAATGTTTTTCTTCTCTCTTCCTTCCTCGACTTCCCTTTGGTCCCTAGCCTCGCACCTTCTCTCACATGCGTGCACTTCCCCTCCTCGCGCTCATTAAGCTCTTCCCCGTCGCTACTTCCCCTCAGTTCTCGCGCCAGGCCCCGTTGCTCTCTTTTGCTGTGGGTTGCGCGCCCATGTCGCGCGAAAAAGCACGCTAGCAAGCGTTGACCGCCACGGCAACCTGCATCACCCAGCTTCCTGAGTGCTTCAGGAGCCTGCTTGTGGTCGACAGTACTCTCCAGCCTGTCAATTCCCCCGACGCCCCCTTTTCCCCATCGTCCCTGTTCTTCTAGCGTCGCTGCCGTCCCCAATCCCATCGCTAAAACACGTCCTGTCGCTGTCTAGCTAGCTGGCTACGACCTGCTCTCCGCCCTGTTCTTGTATCATACACCTGCCTGTCCTCTCTGGCGCCTTTTTTCGAGCCAACCGCACAAATTCGCACCCAGTCGATTGCTCCGTAACTGGCTGGTAAGCAAAGAATCGCGAGTGGGGACGAGAAGAAATCGATAAGACAGGGAAGAGCCGAAAAAAAAAAGAGCGAGAGAGAATCAACAGAAGCAGTCAAAAGAGAGGTAGGCAGAGTCCAGGAGACAATTCCCAAGTGAAGGTGACGAGAAAACTGGAAGACGAAAAGGCAAAAGCGCAACCCGACGAGGGCAAAAGCGAAATCTGGACCGCCGTCCCTCTTTACCCCATCTAAATACACGGTGGCGAAAAACAAGGAAGCTACGTGCTTTGCTCCTTTGTTAAGTTCTGTCTTTCAATCGTGCCCACGCAAGCGCGCCATTCCCAGCACCCGCAACCAACTACCAAAATCGACGCACGCCCATCTATGCTACCTTCCCATCGATTTTTATTTTGTTTTTGTAGCTTTTTTTTCACCCATCTATCTCATATTTGGATCTTGCCGCCCGGCTGTTTCTTCTGTCCCATCTACTTCCCCTCCCTACCAAATAGAACAAGAGACACAAAACAAAACAAACTGCAATCCCGGTCGCAACTTCCCCATCCTGTCTGTTCTCCTCGCGCATGCGACACTTTCGCACGCAAAACATCCTAACCAGTCTACCGCAACTACCAATCCGCGAAGAACCAACACGCGCCTTCCATTCTTTCTCGGAATTTCGCTCCTTGGTCTCTAACATCTGGCTTGACTTTGCCGCTCTTTTTAGGCCATGGAACAGTGGCAGGTCGGCCCTCTGCCGGATTACATCTACGGCAATTCTGCCAGCCACCCAAACGACGTACAGTGAGTACCCGTTTTGCTTGTATCCTCTTCGTGTCCCTCCCTCTGCGCTCATCCCCCCCCCTTCCCTGGGTTGTCGCCTGTATCGGTTCCCACCCGCTGCCCCTTCCAGGAGAGAATCAAAACAACAAGCAGCAAGACAAGCCAGGAAGCATTCAAGCAAGCACGAGAAAGCGTCCAAACAACAAGATATAGCGAAGTCTGTTGCGGAGAATGAGACGAACCCCTCAAATACACCTTCGCCTTTTCATACACTTCCGCGTCCCCACATCAGCACCCCAACAGTCATCCTCGCGACAGCACAGAGCCAAAATGCTCCACACACGGACATTTTAAGCAAATCTTCCCGACGACGCCTCTCCCTCCCTACACTAGGCCGCGATCAAGAGACTTTCCCCGGTACGACGAGCATAGTCCGATAAAGCAGCCTCGCCTTGCCGATATGGTTACTCGAGCTCGCCACGCGTAGCGTCACTGCCACAGAGCTTCAACGACAGGTCCTATCCAATACAACAAGCTCAGAATGCAGTGCCTCGATGCAAGACCATTGCGCATATGTCAACCTGCATCGGCATTGTTCTCTGCGTCCTACTTGAAACCGACCGACTCGCGTCCTCCGTCGTTTTGTGCCCGTCACCGCGTGGCATTACCTCTCGAAGTCAAAGTCATTCGACCGCAAGAACAAGGCGTGCACTTTCTATGGTCCACACATTTTGTTTGTTGCCATACGTTGTCCTCGACGGCTTAACTTCATTTCTTTGAATCCGAACTCCAGACACACCGGATCGTACTTTCACTGCCCAATATTTACGACTCTCGCTTGTCTCTACCGCACCGATACGCCGTTGTCACTTGTATATTGTCCCTCGCTCATCATATCGTCGTCACTCTACTTCATCGCCTATTCGCCTGTCACATGGTGTTTTGCTTTTGTCCGCTACCTTGCCGCTTTTCCGCCGATTCTCTTGCCCCTCGCTTTAACAGCACTCCAATATCCGACCTGCGCAACAGTGACAAGAGCAACTGCGTTGGCTGCCTCTGTTGCACAACCAACCTTGCGTCTCGTTTATATCACCCGGGGCTTGCTTTGTGCTTCATTTGTTTTGCAACTCGACCATCACCTGCTCCATCTTGCCAATGGATAATGTTCCCTTTGGACAACCGTGGGCGCAGCAGCCCGGGGGCTTACCGGCTTCGCGCGAGCAGCGTAGAACAAAAAGGCAGTCATTGCAACAGGAGCAGCCACTGCTACTGGAGCAGCATGGTGAACCTCAATGGCAGCAATCCGCTGCGTCGTCCAACCACCCCAAGCTACCCGATACCCCTTCACCAAAACCATTTCCCTCCATGTCTCCATCGATATCACCCACGCCAGGGAGAATGTTGGGCCGGCCGGCACCTCTCCACTCCATGCACTATCCTCTGAGCTCTGACTCAAGCCATACTAACGATTTACCTCTTATGTTTAGCGCACAACACCAGTACCAGCAACATTTAAGCACCCGTCGCAATGACCAACCCATTGACTTCCGCTACGGCCAGCAGCCACCCCAGGCCCCAGGCCAGCAACACCATACTGGTCCAGGCCAGCCGCCGTTGAACGTGCAGCCGCAGCATAGCGCACCTCATGCCGCCCATCCTGGCCAGCAGCACCAGCAGCAACCTCCACAGTCGCAACAGCCTCAGCAGCATCAACAAGCCCCGCCGCCCTCGCAACAGCAGCCAGCCACTGCAGCGGTCCCGGCCCCGGCACCGACACCGGTGGCACAGCGCGCACGTAAGCGGCCGAATCCGGCTACTGCACAGCCTCCGTCTGCCGCGGCTTCCGCAACCTCGGCCTCTCCCATCATTCCTCCTCCGATCCCCACACCGACTGTCCCTAACAATACAGTGTCTGCGGTCCCGCCTCCGGCCATTCCTGCGGGCGCACCCTTGACAAAGCCCCCCACGCCCGCTTCGGCATCAGCTACCGGAACGCCTATCAAGTTTGCGGCCCAGGCCGAACCTGGAAGTGTTCCGACACCGCCAGCAAAGAAAAGTCGCACAAACACGCCCTGGACACCAGCGGAGGAGCATCGGCTCAAGCAAATGCGTGATGCGGGGAGCTCGTGGGCAGAAATTGCCAAGGTCAGTCTAGCTGCACGACAGCACAAATGTGTGGCATTGAGGACAAAACTAACTCAGGTTCCTCCGACTAGACTTTCCCGACACGTACAGAAGGCAGTGTCAAGAAGCACTGGTACAAGGTACGCGCCCTCTACCTCTACTTCTCTTTCTTTGTACAACTACATCGAGATCAATTTGAGAGTACCTGCTAACCCATACAAGGATATGCACTACGCAGAATTCGCCGAGGACGAAAGCCAAGCGCTTCTGAATGCTATCAAGGAGTACGAGAATCAAAAGTGGAAGGTGATCGGCCAGAAGGTTGGCAAGCCCGCCAAGGTCAGTCATATATATCCTCCGCGTCGCGACTGCAGGGCCTTGCCTGGTCTGTCAATATCGAGATGCATGCTGACTCCGAATACGTTCAGGCTTGCGAACAATACGCCAAAGAGCACTTTGCCGACCAGATTCTCTCCGCGGGAAAGAGGTAGTATGTCCTGCAAAACAGTTACATAAGACAGGGCGACGGACTCTTTATGATTCCAATTGGTTCAGTACCATCCTTCGTACTGCATCGGTGTGCGGCTTGGTATACTCGGCCGGTCCTCAAAACGAGTCCACTTTGATTGTCCTACTCGCATATGCGCAAGCAAAACGTGGAAAGGGACCCGAATCAAAATAACAACGACAAAAAACGAGTTTGGTCACTGATCTGATCCAGAGCGAGTCTTCTCCCTTCGTTTTCTACTCCTTATACCACATTGTCATAAACATTTTGTGTGATGACGGGAGATGTATCTTGACATGTAGTAGGATTGCTGTTGGGTCAGATGCTCTTCTTGCCACTCTCGTCCGTTTCTGGGCTGCATCTGCCGCCTTTGGCCCATTCTTGTTTCTCCCATTTTCTTTTTTTTTGTCTGCCTTTTTTTCTTATATTTCTCTGTCTTTCCTTGCTCTTGCTTGGATTGGGCTATTTTCCCTGCCGCTTAGGGAATCCTCACCGTCAGTTCCCTTTTCACCCTGCTTCTTTTTCTGTCGTTTTTATTTCTTACTGTTGGTCTTATCTTGCCACTCTTTTATCCTAGTCTCTCGGCCGAGAGACCACAGGGGCCACGGTTTGGTATTTGTTTTGAGTTTTCTTTGTTCGGTCTGACTTTCGTGTCTCGGGTAGGTCTCCAGGAAATTTTTTTGTGGCGGCGAAGGAAAAAAAACTAGGGCAAATGCTGTTTCTCTTCTATAACCCTTTGTTTAGGTATAATTTGTTTTCTTGCTTTTTGTTGTCTACCTTACCTCGGTTTGAGGTTTGCGTTTGGCTCGCGTCTGGATCGCTGCTCTTCAACTACGAAAGAGTTGCACACCTATCCAAAAACGGAGCAACACTAACTAGCGACTGAAATTCGATTTTTATTTGTCGCGCCAAAAACTAAAGACACCTTCGCGATGTATGTTTGTAAATTTGCTATGTTCTGCATTACAAAGACGTTTTAGTGTCATGCCGTCCCTTCATTGCGCGATGCTGTCAACTGGGTACATCCTCGATAGTATTTGCAATGTTCCTCGTAACCACGGCGGGAGGGGCCGCAAACGGTTGCGTCCAGGGGAAAGGGTCATATGAAGGGGTCTACTCGCGGGGAAATATCAACGATGGTTTTGAGTCCAATATACAAACTACAAAATACTGCAAAATACATCGATACGTAGTAGAGCTAGCTGTTTTGGTTCATGTGAATCTTGTGTACCCTGCTTTAGTTTCGTTCGGGGTAGTACGTGGCGCACCACGCACGTAGCGTATCGATTGGTGCAACATGTACGCTGTACATAGCGAGTCTCTTCCTTTTTGACACGAAAAAAAAGAGACAAAAAGAGAGCTTGAGGGGAGTATTTTGGCCTCTTACATAGATTCTACGAAGGACAAAGGATGACGCGGTTTCACCAAATCGATGTTCTAGGTGCATTTAGTAGCATGCGTTGAAATTTTTGTATAATAAAAAAAAGTCAATAAAGCAACACTCTCCGAGATGTTATCCGCATTCAGATCCTTCATCATTTAATGAGACATATCGTCAACGCTCCTGAGAGACCATGAAAGACGAGCCGTCCTCAGTTCCGTTGCGCCTTATGATTCAAGTTTTGGAACAAGATTGTTATTATCGTATGGGAGATAAAGGATGCGTAGCGAAGGACATGGATTCACCGACCTGGTGAGCAAAAACCAGGCTGAATAGTCCCATTCATTGCGGCCTTACCATAACAGCAATATACAACGCCGGCCATATGGTCGTTGCATTTGGCCGTCCTACTTAGGCTATATCGCCATCGATACGGAGGGACAGTGCCGTGTTCATGCGATGTAAAGAAAAATTTTTGTTGCGTTCAGTTTCTGAAGCAGGATCAGAGCTGGTAACAACAGCAGCCGTGGCAGGGCCTCGCTATTTGACAGCCATTTAGTTTTGCCAGCTAAGCACGACCGGTATTTGATGGGAAGAGTTTTTTTCTTGATATTTCATTTGCCATGAAAGCTGTAATAAAGCGCGGCGGCCTCTCTTGTGATGTGAGACAACAGAATCAGAGAGGGCAAGTTGAGGGCAAACAAACAATCAACGAACAAGTAGGAAAATACTATGAGAAGAGTTAGGTCCAACCTCTTCCTTTACTTTCACGCTAACACTTTAGTTCTGAAAGTTCTGGAGGTAAGTCAATATGTGCCCGTTGAATCGCCGTGCGACCAAGAGTTGAAAGCTCCCCATTCTCTTTGGCGCGCGACACATGAACGCACAAAGTTGGTGGTTTTGGCGTTGTGGCGTTGTGGCGTTGTGGCGTGTTCTGGGCGTTCTTGGCGCACTGCACCTCCCTTGCATTGGTTTCGATCAACGCTGCAGAAGGTTACGTTTGGCACTGTGGCTTGAGCCTGGAAAGCGATGCTTGACTCGCCCGGTTTGCCCGTTTCTTTTCGTCTTCTTTTTCCCGGATGGGTGGCGCGTCCTGCAAGGGCGATCGGCAAAACAGAGCAGACTGGGGTATGTTGTACTCTGGATTTCTCTGTGTGTCTGTGTCTGTTGCGTCACTGATCTGCCGTTAGGAGCATTGATCGCGAGATGAACTGAAAATAAGGCATATCATAATAAAACAAAACGAATATAAAACAGAGCGACCCTCAACAGCGAAAGAAGAGGTCAATCTGAAGCGCGACAGAAAGACGTGGAAATGAACAGATTCCTGACGAGACGGCGTGATGTGCAGGACCCTTCTTGAACATCATCAGGTTGCTGCATCGTATTCTTGCCCCTTCATGATGGACCTGTCTCGCGCTGACTGCCAAGGCCAACTGTCCTTTGCATACGTTTTCCATCTGCAAACAACTGCATCGTGGCTATGGCGAATCGGCTGGACGGCGCTGTTCGATTCCAGACAGTGTTGCAAACACTGTGGACTGAGCCTGCTTGCAATACCGCTCCATTCGAGAGTCCAGGAGTAAATTACGCAGCCTGAGTCTGTGCCTCACTGGGTTTTCCGCTTTTGTTGGACGGATGTCTGCATGTACAGTTGCTGCGGACGACTACCGGCCGCTGTCCTATCTAAAACGGGGCTCTCTGCACTGCAAAACGCGCGATCCAGGGGATCTGACGGCACTCAACAACCAGACAGCGACCGAGAGAACAGTGCAAACCTCCAGTTCTTCGCAAGCTTGGAGGAAAACGCGACAAGACGCGCCTGCACAGCAGTCGTAGCTGCTGGGAGAAATTCGGTAGGGCAATCACAATGGGGGCCGGAAAGAAAATAAAAAAATAAAATCAAGCCCGAAATGGACCATGAAAAAACGGCGCCTACCAATACGAGAACCTCACGCAGGAAAAACTGGGCCGCACCACCCTCACCAATGTCCGTGCTTCCCAACCAGGTGTGACTGATGCTCCTTCCACTTCCCCTCGCCTCGCTCTTGTTTCTGATGTGCTGGCTCTCTCCCACTGCCATGTTTGCCTCTTTCTTTTGGCAGGACCAACCCACTTCTTGTTCTTGCATTTTACTCGTAAATTCAGAGTGTAGCTACCCCCTGGAGTCGTTCGAAAAGTCGCTTGTAGGTAATATTTCCTGGCCTGTCTCTTCACGCCAGTCCAGTCCATGTTGGGACTAGCTCTGTACTTGTCTACTTTTCCGCGCTCAGAAACCGCCCAACTCTGTGCCATGTTCTGTGCTTGTTCAATTGCACCCCTGTTTTTGCCTGTATCTGGTCATGGTCCGCCTTCTCCTATTAAAATTCAAGGTCTTGGCAACCGCCCCAGGCTATGTCTGTTTTCCCTCTCCTCTTCTTCCTCCTCTCTCTTTTCGTCCAGCGGAAGCCTTCTCCGAATAGCCTCTTTTTTGCTCTTCTGTCTTTGACTTCGTTTTCGTCCCTCGTTGCTCCCTTCGTTTGTGTCCCGCTTATTGTCTCTCTTCGTGACACTCGCTAAACGCGAAAAGAGTCTTGTTGCCTTCACACGTCGGCTTTTTGGTTGTAGTGGCGCTTCACATAATATTCGCTTCGTTTCGTTCTCTCTGTTCTTACACTTCTTTTGCTTCTCGCCTCTTCTTGTCTTCGCTTCGCCGACGCTCGCGCTGCCCATTCCCACGGGCTATCCATTCGCTCACGCATCTACCGACCTTATTTCCCACCCCTTCTTAGTCTCTCGTTTTTCTCTGGTATCGTCTCGTATCGACGACGCGACCGGCCCATTCCACCAATACTTGCTTTTAATACTCCTTCAAATCTTCGACACCTTTCCCCTCGCCTTCACCATGGTCCGGTCTCTCCTCCCCATCGGCGTCGCCCTCATCGGGGCCACGAGCGTCCTTGCCGCCGACTCAATTCCCACCTGCTCGCTCACCCAGAAGTGCCCTGAGTCGGCGCCGTGCTGCTCACGTAAGTTTCGCATCGACAACCTGCTTATCGATGTTTATTTTTTTTAAACTTTTTGCTTTGTGCCCTAAGCTGGGTGGTTGTACAACCCACGATTGGCGGCACCACTTTGGGATCTTGCCTGGCCGCCCGCTTCCTGCTGTGTTCCCCATCCCATCGACTATCCCCTGCCGCTGGCACCTGGCGCATTGTCGCACCGCATTGTGGCGTGAACGTCTATCCCTCCGGGACATGTTGACCTTGTCTGCTAACTCCACTAGAATACGGCCAATGTGGTGTAGGTGCGTACTGCCTCGGCGGCTGCGACCCTCGTATGTCCTTCTCGCTGGACTCGTGCGCACCTGAGCCTCAGTGCGTCAGTCGTGTCATGAAGATGAACAGCCTCGACCGCATCGTCGATGTTTCCGAATACCTCGGCGACTCGTCCAAGGCCGACTGGGTTGCCCAGGGTACCCCGCTTGTCTACAACAACGAGGCTGTACTGCTTACTATGCCCGCCAACTCCGTCGGCACTGTCCTCTCCTCCACCGGCTACATGTGGTACGGCAATGTCAAGGCCACTTTCAAGACGTCGCGTGGTGCTGGTGTCGTCACCGCCTTCATTCTGCTCAGTGATGTCAAGGACGAAATCGACTACGAGTTTGTCGGCACGGAGCTGAACATTGCCCAGACCAATTACTACTTCCAGGGCATTCTGGACTGGCACAACTCGGGCAACATCTCCCTGTCCGATACCTACGAGAACTACCACACCTACGAGATCCAGTGGACCCCTGACTCCATCACCTGGCTTGTCGATGGCCAGGTCGGTCGTGTTCAGAAGAAGTCTGACACCTGGAACGCCACTGCCAACCAGTGGAACTTCCCTCAGACTCCGTCGCGTGTTGAGCTGTCCATCTGGCCTGGCGGTGCGCCGTCCAACGCCCCCGGCACCGTTCAGTGGGCGGGTGGTCCCATTGACTGGAACTCGGCCGACATTAAGAACTACGGCTACGATTTTGCGACCTTCACCGAGGTCGAGATCCAGTGCTACAACGCTTCGTCGGCGCCCGGTACCAATAACGCCGTTTCGTACACGTACAACAACTGGCTCGCCACAAACAACACCGTTGTCAACGGCGACAAGAACCCCATCATGAAGAACTTTGAGAACACTGGTCTGGACATGACATCTGGCCCTGACGCCGGTTCGTCGTCGACCAGCAGCGCCGCCGGCAGCAAGAAGACCAACAGCAACACCGTTCCGGGCGGCACCTCGAACGGCCCTGGCAACTCCCAGGGCAACGGCGACTCGAGCTCTGGCTCGGGCTCGGGCTCGGGCTCGAACTCCGGCGGCTCGTCGACAGGTAGCTCCTCGGGCTGCTCGACGACCGGCTTCTCCCAAAGCTGCGACAACGGCAACAGCGGCAGCTCGTCTAAGAGCGACGGCGGTCGCATTGTGGGCGGCGAGCGGATCATTAGCGCCAGTGCATTTGCCGTGGTCGTTGCGCTGGGTGCCATGATGGTACTGTAATTTTTGTTTGTCGCTACATGATTTTGATTTAATGTCTAGTTTCTAGTGGAGCCGCATCTAGTTATGTCTTACTATTTGTGTGCAACATTTTTCTGGGGTCTATTGAAACAACATCCTTGTCTTTTTTTGCCCTTTTGTCTTATTTGTCTTGATCATGGCTGCATTTTCATGCACTTTTTTTTTAACAGCCAGCACCTCATTTTACCCTATTTTCTGGTTTTCTCATTCTTCCCTTTTTGGTCCCTAGCATTGGTTCGGCTGCGATGGGTTCTTGCTTGGATTCGCAAATGGGAGCTTGAGAACGGGGATGACTGCACCTTTGATGATAAGGCAATGGATTCACTTCTGTCTTGCAGTCAACAATTTCCAGTTGCGAACCGCGGCCCCGAGTACCGACCGAAAACGCTAATAATTCTGGACCGCAAATATAATTCATTGGATTCAACTAATGACCACGATTGTGAATTGCGATAATTGACTGTGCTTGCTGACCAAAGGAACTTCGCAAGGTCAAGACCAACACACCTCGAAGGGCCGCCCCGTCTAACTAGATGTATTCCGGTAAACAATATCACGCGACCTGCACCAGATCTAGAGCATCATACACCAAATCCCACCCCCTGAACTCCTCCCACATTACCATTCTACCACTCCAATTGCTAATTCAGCTTCTTGTATGCGAAACTCCGTGTCGATCTAGGCCGTGGGGTTGCTGTTGAAGGCCAGAGCGTTGATGGTGCCGCTGGGGACACCGGTCAGCACATTCTTCTGAGCGGTGCTCTGGATGTACGCGCAGAGCGCTTGCGGAGCCTTGGGACCGAGCAGGGCCAGCAAGTAGGCACCGAGGCCGGTGATATGTGGCGTGGCCATGGATGTTCCCGAAATGGTGTTGGTGGCTGTGGTGCTGCCGATCCAGGTGGACAGGACGTTTGTGCCGGGCGCAAAGATGTCGACGACGCTGCCGTAGTTGCTGTAGTAGGCAATATCATCTACGGTCTCGGAGGCGGCCACAGTGCACACGGTTGGCTCGGAGGCGGGCGAGTAGTAGGAGGCGTCGTCGGCGGAGTTGCCAGCGGCGACGGCCAAGAATACGCCGGCCGAGACGAGGGCGGCGGCGGCGCTGTTGACGGCGGCGCTGAAGCCGCCACCCAGGGACATGTTGGCGACTGAGCCCTTACTGCAGCCAGTGCGGGTGGCGGCGTCCTGGGCCACAAAATCTATGCCGGCAATGACACCCGAGAAGGAGCCTTGGCCGCTGCTGTCGAGGACTTTGACGGCAAACAGCTTGGTCTTCTTGGCGACACCGTACGTAGCCGAGCCAATGGTGCCGGACACGTGGGTGCCGTGGCCGTTGCCGTCGCTGTTTTGGCCATCGCCGGCATAGTTTGCGAGCCACGTGGCGCGTCCCTCGAACTCGGGGTGGCCGACATAGATGCCCGTGTCGATGACGTACGCACAAGTACCGTCGCCGGCGCTGTCGTCGTAGGTGTAAGACGTGGACGTGTTGGCTTTGTGGGAGATGCGGGCCAGGCCCCAAGGTAGCGGGTTGGCCGTCTCGGTGACGTAGGTGTCGATCTTGACAATGGCGTCCTGCTCAATGTAGTCGACGCCCGGGTGGTCACGCAAGTTGGCAAGGCCCTGAGAGTCCAGACGGAGCGCAAAGCCACGGAAGGAAGCACCGTCGGCCTTGTAGACGTGGTCGACTTGGGTAGAGTCGGCCGTGTCAATGGCGTCCTGCAGGGTGGCAGCGGGAATGCCGTCCTTCATCTTGACAATATACTTGCCGGAGATGAGGTTGGCATTGCGCGAGCGGATAAGGGGAGCCGGGCTGTCACGCTTGGGCAGGGCCGGAGCGGCCAAGGCCACGGACAAGAGGGAGAGGACGGCGAGCTTGTACATTGCGGAAAGCTGGGCGGTGATACGGAGCACTCTGTATAATGACAACGATATGAAAGTTGGGGGAAAGACTTGGTAGATGTAAATGAGACGGCTGCTTTGTTGATGACGAGAGGGCCAATACAATATAACCTGAGATGGGCAACGGGCATATTTATCTTTGTTTTGGATCTACAGCATCTACAACTTTCGGTCTAACCGCATGGCGATGCTATCTTCATGTTGCTGTATCTTGATCTTCCGGCCGTTACGACGTAACCGACGCCATTTCTTCTACTTTTGTTATCATCGTAGTAACCTTCCGTACACGGCATGGCCGATGATGAAGGTGCTTGAGCTCTTGATGTGATTGAACAGAAGTTGATCCAGAGCGCCTGGAAAAGGAAGCTCGCGACATTACCTGGCTGAGGTCACATTGTCGATGTTGATCAGATGCAGATATGCAGAGAGAATGCTTTCCATTACAACGAAGTAACCGTGGTAGTGAACAGTCCGGGAGGGATGTCTCGGGCCATGGGCAACGATACCAGCTTCCTGTTTGTCCTTCTTTTGTATATACGACGCACATATATCCTAGACAGTCTCACCGTTTCGGCCCACAAAACGAGGGCCTCCAGGTCTGTAAATTGCCGCAGGCACGTGGACGTACTGTTCAGGGACTGGTCGTGGGATGCAGGAGAAGCAGGAAGACCGGGATTGTGGCAGGAAGCCAGTACGAACTAGATTGCATGAAGAAGAGCCTAGCTGGATAACATGGAACGAGGGCCTGGCCGTCAACATCATCACCAACCTTCATGGCCTCCTTCCCAATTCGGAAAGAGAATAAGGGAGCCGAGCAAGAGGCTCGTCACCAGGACCAGCCACTAGTGTTTGGGAAGACAAGCATCGCGGCTCAATAAATTGCACGCTGTTCCCTAAACCTGGTCGTGTGGCCAAGGCTGGTGGCGCGAGGGTAGACGGATAAGGTTGGTGCCGGTAAATAAGCCGAGCGGTTGGAGGGCGGCTCTGCCAAGTGTTTCTTTTGATATGCATTATGTCGTACTCTGTACTTTTATCACAGCCCACATCCAGCCCTGCACACGGCAGCAATATAAAATGACCTTGGATGCCGTGCCGTGCGACAAGTGGACCGTTTGTGCTGCCTCTGCTTCTGCTGCTGCAACGACACACTACTACTTGCTCTTCCAGGAAACCAAACCCGACCGAGTTGTTTTTTTAGGTTGTCCGCGTTTGTGCTTGGCATAGCTTGGGCCTCGATGATGATGTGGATACTTGACCGGAGTGTGAGGATAGTTCCAGCACTTCGGCCAGCGTCCAGATTGTTGGCCGATTGTTTTGCACGGATTTGCTCGGTCGTCGGTGATCATCCCGGGATTCTGGCGTCTTTTATCGCTGCAACTAATCATGGGATCTGTGGTGTGTGTCTAACGCCGCAGGGCCATAGTCCCGTCGTATTACGGTTGTCGTTGTCGAGATTTACGTCAAGTGCTCCAAAAACGTGATTGTGCCATAATTTGACGGTTGATGAGCACGACGCCCGAGGATGTCGCAAAAATAGAATAGGCAGCTACGTAGTTGTGTATGTCATGTTATGCAGTGCTAGTTGGGCTCTGACCGCCACAGCCCAGGTCACCCTAGAGCATTTCAGGGAGTGAGGAACAGGGGCGGTTGGGCGGGGGCTAGGGTAACAGGGTTAGTAAACTTCAGTGCGGACTCGCTAGCACCGGGCATTTCCACCACCCGAGACTTCGCGACGCGCTCGGGGATTGGAAAATCCCGAGCCAGCGCACTTCGCATAAGAGGCGAAACAGAGATGCAAAGGAAAATGGAAGCAAGAGGACGGAACTCCAAGGAGAAAAGACCAAGTAAAACATCGAGACGACGCGACGATAGAAACAAGGGCGAAGGTACGCCGGCCATTTTCAGGCAAAAGGGCTTAGCTGTGTCTGCGTCTTGGGACACCCCTGCGTACCAGTGTGTCAGAGATACACTCTTGTCAACTTCTATCTTGTTCCATCTCCTCGTCGATATCATCCTGTGCCGGAGAATAAAGTGCATTGCCAAGACCTAGGATATTGCGTTCCTTCCTCTTCTATATATTTTCTACTCCCTTACAACCCACCTTCGTCAACCCCCGTACGACGCACCTGCCCGTTCTGGCCTACTCGTCTGAGCAGCTGCTCCCCCCGCTGCTGCCAACTATGTCACAAGTCGCGCTTGTGCCTTCTCCTTCGCTGGCGCCCTTGCCATCGGCCGTGCCTTCCCAGAGCTCGAGGGCTGTTGCCGCAACCGGAGCACCCTCCGAACCACGCGTCCTCGCGTGTGTCATGTGCCAGCAGCGCAAGATCAAGTGCAACCGCAAGTTCCCCTGCAACAACTGCATCCGACTCGGCGTCTCGTGCGTGCCCGCCACCCTCAATCCACGCCGCCGGCGCCGCCGTTTTCCCGAGCGCGAACTGCTCGACCACGTGCGGCGCTGCGAGGCGCTGCTACGGCAGAATCATGTGCGCTTCGACTCGCTCTTTGAAGAGACCGTGGGCGGACTTGACGCTGAACGTGACGGCGACGAAAACGACCACGGAAAGGACACCAATAAAGCGTCCCACGAAGCAGCGTCGTCTCTGGCGGCCCTTCGGCGGGGTCAAGGCGCCAGTCGAGGCAGACGAGGAGGTCGTGGAGGTAATGGAGAGGACGACTCGGAGATGGTGCTAGACTCAGACGGCGACGAGGCTAGAGTGGTTAGGGGCGCGGTCAAGGCTGCCTCTTCGGATGCTGGATCTTCATCAATGCTGCCTGCCACGACACCAACACCAGGCACAGAGGTGGAACGCCGTGCCGAAGCCAACAACTTCTGGAAGGCGATCCGCAAAGGTTTCCATGACCCAGCCAATGGCGGAGCCAGCCACGACCGCAACACAGCCACCTCCGCAGGCTCCACCAATGCCGGCACAAACAACAACGACAACTCCCCGGGCCATGACGACGGCAACAGCTCCGACTCTGACACCGAGTCTGAGATCCGCAACAGCAGTTCTGCGCTGCGCCAGATGTGGGCACGCCAGCTGGGCAGCACTGGCAGCCTGTGTTTTCGAGGACCGCATCGGACGCTGGCCAATGTGACGACCCTCCATCCAGACCCTGTCCGGATTTTTCGTTTGTGGCAGATCTACCTCCAAAATGTCGACCCATTGCTCAAGATCACACACACACCGAGCCTCCAGGGCCGGATTGTTGAGGCCACTGGCAAACTCGAGGGCATCAACCCGAACCTCGAGGCCTTGCTGTTTGGCATATATTGTGTGGCCGTCCACAGCATGTCGCCGTCCGACTGCCAGGCAGCCTTTGGAATGTCCAAAGACGCGCTGTTGGCCACCTACCAGCCAGCCTGCGAACAGGCACTCCTCAACAGCGGCTTTCTGCGGACGTCCGAGCGCGACTGTCTCGCCGCCTTCTTCCTGTACCTCCTCTCCCTTGGCCACTCCATCGACCCGCGCTCGTTGTATGCCATGCTCGGTGTGGCCATGCGCGTTGCCCAGACCATGCAGATCAACAACGAAGTCGGTCCCGGCGCCCGCCTGACGCCTCTCGAGGCCGAGATGCGCCGTCGCCTCTGGTGGGCCATGGCCCTCTTTGACTCGCGTATCAGTGAGTTGGCCAACCACAGCCCGGCTATGCTGGACCCGACCTGGGACTGCCACCTGCCATTGAACGCCAACGACTTTGATTTCCGACCCGAGCTCAAGGAGCCGCCCATGTCAGTTTCGGCAGCTGGTGGTCGTGCTGCCGTGTCGTCTGAAGCGCTGTTTGCCGTTGTGCGCAGCGAGCTCGGCAACGTCATGCGGCACGCTGAATACTACCTGGCGCTGTCAAACCCAGCCCTCAAATACATGGCGAAAGACCGCGAGTACGCCGTACAGGGTACCGCCATCAACCGAAACAGCAGCCGAACAGGCCGGCTTCCCGAATTTGCCGAACTCAACGCCCTCGAAGATCTGATTGAAGACAAGTATCTACAATACTGCGACCCGGCTAACGGCCTGCACTACATGACCATCTGGATGGCCAAGGGCTTCATTGCCAAGTGCCGCTTGATCAAATACTTCTCGCGTTATGCCAACGGCGGACCGGCAAGCGCCGGCGTGACTGCGAGCACGCCGACTTCTTCGTCTAGAGCCACCGGCAGTGGCACACCCTCGTCAACCAATCTCACTACTACATCGTCCTCCGAAGCCTTGCGTGACTGTGCCCTCGCCGACGCGCTTACCGTTATCGAGAGCGACACCAACATTATGACCTCGTCCCTTACACGTGGTTACCGCTGGCTGCTGCACCTCTACTTCCCGTTACCAGCCTACATCTTTATCACACAAGAACTGGCCAGCCGTATTGGCGGTGCCCGGGCCACTCACGCCTGGGTTGCTATGAACGACAACTACGAAGCTCGTTTCGCTGTGAGCGACAGCGAAATCCGTTACATGTTCAAGATGTTTGCCAGCACCATCCTGCAGGCCTGGGACGCCTGTGAGGCCCGGTCGAGAGCCTCTGGTGAAATGGAACACGAGGATGGACCTGCACCCCTGCCCCAGATGATTGTCCGCATTCGCGCGCAGCTGGCGGAGGACGACCGCGACCGGACCGCCACGGAAATTCCAGCAACGACCGACATTGCATCTTTACAAGCGGGCGGAGGAAGTGTGCACGGCAATAGAGTCTCGGGTGCCTTGACTGGCGCATTTGCCACGACCCTGTCCATGGACATGGTTGGAGGTGACGATGGTGGTCTGACGGCCTCACTGTTTAGCGGGCCACCACCGCCCGGAAGCGGAGCGCCAAGTGCCTTTGGCGATGCAACTCCACCAGCACCACCATTGTTTACAGGTCCTAATTTTGGCGCACCCGGTTTTGGCTTGGGCAATATGGGCAACTGGCCGCAGATGCCGATGCCCTGGGGCTGGGGGCCACGTCCACCTTGGGGTGGGTAAGACGAGGAGGGACGGGAGGCAGAAATGAATAATATTTCTGTCGTGTTGAAGCTTTACTTGGCACTGACAGACCTGTGAACACGATTGGCAGACCAGCAAATCTGCCAAATTCATCATTCTCTATAAGATGTCGAAGGCTGGTAGGGAAGTAGCTGGCTTGATCACTTTGACGTGTTGGATGGCATTTGCTGAGCAGCTTAGTTGCCAGTGCTCACAGCCCCGGGGCTTCCAGGAGCCAACCGTCTTCTGAACGCGCACCTCGAGAGTTTGTATTTCCCGATAAGGCTTACCGAGGTTTTCGATTTAGGTTAAGAACAGAGTCGAGGTGCCGATGCGAAAGTGTATATTGAGCGAAGGCTGCGCTTGTTTATGGGCAAACGTCCCCAAAAAATCAAAATTTTAGTTGCATAAAACCTTAACTAATTTTCTGATCACTACCATACGCACAATCGTCAAGACGTAATTCATAAATGTTGAAAGGAGAAACAAAGGCAAGACTGTAAGACGTAATTGCAAGCATCATTCACACTGTATTCCGCCTTCTACTGGGCCGCTTATTGAAACGCTGCCATCGGCTGTCCCAGCGGTCAAATAGCTACGTCGTCCGTGCTATTGCACGGCCTTCTCGTCCGCCTCGACGAGACTCTCGTTGGAATCGATTCCCACCAAGTTGTAGCCCCCGTGCCAGGAGGAAACGCAGGATCGCCTCGGCCTTGGGGTACCAGACATGCCTCGGATAACAGTCCCAGTGCTGGCGGCGTGGATAAGCAGCAAGTGACCGAAGACGGACAGCATCTTCGAGAATGGCGTGAAGAGGCGGACGATCTCGGCTTTGCCGTTCACTGTCCTTCTCACTGCCGTGCAGATAGCACAGCCGCTTCAAGTCTGCACCCGCGTCGGTCAGGCACTGCAGCAGCTCTACCGGCCGTCGCGGATCGGCAATGGCGCGCAACAGCAGCGAGTCTGTTGGTGAGCCTGTCGCATTGTCCCCGCGTCGGTCGGGATGCCGGTCACCAAAAGCCATGTTGGGATCAGCATGGCCCTGTTGCAGCAAGAGCCGCGTTAGGGCCACGTTGCATGGCACCGCGTCGTGGAGGCAGTGGTCGTGCCGCAGCTCGGGTGAGTCCGCGTGAGACCATGTCCATCGCCGTGGCCCGCGCACCTGCACGAGACCCAACACATGGCTCCATGTTGCAGACACAATGTGAGACAGTCCAGCAACGCCGTTCTGGCCGTACTCGCTGCCCAGTGCCAGTGTGGCACCGTGTGCCAGAAAGCAGGCCACGACGGGCACGGGGCACCACCGCGGCGGCAGCGCGGCCGCGTAAGGATGTCTGCGAGAAGAGGCCAGAACGTGTTTCTGGACGAGGACGGACCGCCGTCGATGGGCTTGCCGTGGAGGCCACGGAACACTGGTACGCTGGCGGATGCACCATGGTTGAGGAGACAGTCGAGTGTGGTCAGCGGGCTAGGGCACGTGGTGTCGAGTGCCATGGCAAACGCGTGCGGCCAGCTGCGGCTCAAGTCTGCACCGGGTGCCGCCAGAGCGCGCCGCAGGGTGCCGACACTGCTCGTGAGGCAGCCCCAACGAAGCGCTCTCGAGCAACAGGAGCAAGAGTTCTCATCAAACGCTCTCTGTGCGGCGTCCCTCTGATAGAGAGTGTCGACCAGAAGCCGATGGCAGAAACGAGAGGCTCGAGCCAGCCGAGATAGGTCGCCGATTTCGAGCAGGTTGCTGACTGCGAGTAGGAGCTCGTTCGGGAGACACATCAAAGAAACAGTGCCCTCCACCGAATCCCGGTCAACCGTGGCAGCATCTGTCTCGTCCTGGTCCGCCATGGACGCCGTCTGTGTGGGCCAGCGTGGGTAATCATAGGAGCAGAGAGGAAGAGAGAGAGAGAGGGAGAGTTCAGACAAAAGAATAAAGTACGTCCCTTCTGTAGTTTTGAATGTCGTTGGAAAGCAAGAGAAAACGTTTCGAGTCACACACTGACGAGATGACAGCCTCCTTTTAGTGATTGGACAATGGCCATCTCCTTGCCCGCGCCCTCCGCTCAAGCCCCAGACGCATACCGATAGCCTCATTCACGGCCAGACATGTCTATTGGATGCCAGCTATTTGCAGCGTGCATTCGGTGGGATGTGCTGCAGCATGCGCTCGAACAGCGCCAAGGTATCCTTGGGGAAGACAGCGGAGCAAACGTGGAGATGGTCGACAGGTCAAGTCCGTCATGCGCTGCGTTGAACAAACGATCTGTGGATCGCGACAAAAGACAACCAACCATCGGCCAAGCCTTGCTTGGGGAATTGCAACGGATGCAACTTGCATATCCAATTGCCGTTGCGGTGCACACAATTTGTGGACAATATGTGATCAATTTCTGGCCATCAGCAAATACTCAAAACGGCAATCGATCCACACAATTGCAAACGAGCATCTCTGGGTGCGATCATGAACCAGACGAACTATCAAAGCTATTTGCCAAAAGAGCCAGCTCGAAACCGTCGAGTCTGCCCAGACTTTTGCACAGACTGCAGATCAGGTGCTCTTATTTTCTGCCGCAGCGTCGCTTTCGTTTCGTCATGTTTTCATTTTGCCGTGCAATCTTTCCCACCGCTGGCCATATCGACGGACGGTTTCGGCAGCATTGGCGATCCGTGTACCGAAAACAAGGGGAGAAGGATAAAAGCAAACAAGAAATGTTGTTATCGCAGTCGTGATTTTGTGTAATGAAGATGGTAAAGTCGAAACAAAAGCACAAAATGAGCGATGCGTACCGCAAGTCGACAAAAGAACTTCGGCACGGAAACACCCGTCTAATGGAACCGAAATCATCGCGAAATCAATTGTTGAGGTCGGCCGTCGAGAGTAGCGAGCATAGCATACATAGTGGCGCTTGTCGCAGACAAAGGGGTGTCTTTATGCAGTCGGGATTGGCGTACTGTATCAACTCCGCGAACGTGTCTCTGTCGCGCCTGCTCTGCTTGCCCAATACGAGAACCCCTGCCCACTTTCCTTGACACTCTACACTAAACCTGCAACGGTGTTTTGTGGAGACAATTTGCTCATTGCCTTTGATTGCCTTTGATCGTGCTTTCCTCCCACTGGTCGTTCTGACAATGTCCCCTGAATTCTCTCTGGAATCAGGCTATTCATCACAAAAGGCACTATCGAGACGCTTTTTGTTTGCACTGCACGGCTGTTGTCCCCTAACTGCAGCAAGGGACAGGGCCAGTTTTGTGTTGGCCCGTGCACGACGCGCGATGAAGCCAGCTGCCAAGGCCCTGGCTAGACCAACAACGCCCCAGGGGTTAGGCAAAATTGGTTAAACGGCCCCAGCAACCATTGTCTATTTTCAGCACTGCCCACCATATCTCCCAACCAGACTGTGCCCCAAATAAAGATATTTCCTGCGTGGCAACCACTGTTCGACGCCCATAACGAGCGCCCTGTTCCTGTTGTTTCTGTTCGTTCCTCCCTGTGTGCCCCGTGTGTGACACTCTCCACTTTCCCGTGTCCCTCACATTTTCCGCCTCTCGTCATTTTGGCTCTTGCTTCTTCTGTTTTCTCGTTTCTCGTGTTTCCTGTCTCCTTTTTTGGCCTCACCATCTCTCCATCCCACGCTGTGTTCCGACGACACACCAACCTTTCTCTGATCCGATTCTCTCATTTTCTTTCGTCCTTCGCTTCTTCATTCGTTTCACTCAAAGCTTTCTCTCGCTTCATCGACTTTCGCTTCTCCTTTTCGATCTTCTAGCTCGTTCAGCTGTGTTTTCGTGTGTTTTGGGGAGGGGGCTTTCCATTCTAATTTTGGACCTCCGCAAGCAAAAAACCGACTCACAAATCAGGGCAAGCAGACCACCACTTCATTTCCTCGACAACCACTCGACGTCACCTCTGCGACAGACCGCCACACAGTTCCCCTGTTCGTCTCCCGCCGCCGGAGGATCTTGAAAGAAGGCGACAATATCGCCGCTCGCGAGCCCTTCAGTCGATCCAGCATCGACGGCTCCAACGATCCTTCGCTTTGTCGGTCATCTCCCGTGCCTCGTTGCGATACACAATCGCCCACCGTCGTCATGGGGTTTGGCGACTTCACCAGTCTCTGCCGTACGGCACCCATTCCGTTATGCGCGTCTGTCGGTGCCATCACCTCCATCTCCTTTGGCGTTGGCATCGAGCCCGATTGTTATGCTCGCAACATTGAGCTGGCCAATACCATCATCTTCCAGGGCGCCGCCAGCGCCATGCACATTGTTGCTCTGTTGATGACCATTATCATGATCTTCCACGTCCGGGGGAAGTTCACTGCAGTTGGTAAGGCTCGCTCCGACTCCCGTTCATCTTCATTTGTCCGTTTGTTACCCGCGGCCACATCTAACTCTCTTCCACATAGGCCGTAAGGAAATCACGACATTCTTCTACCTCTACCTGCTGCTCACCTTTTTCTCGCTCATTATCGACGCCGGAGTCGTGCCACCAGGCTCTGGCCCCTACCCGTACTTTGTCGCCATCCAGTCTGGCCTCGCGTCCGCCCTCGTCACCTCGCTCTTCATTAACGGCTTCGTCGGCTTCCAGCTCTACGAGGACGGCACACCGCTCTCCCTCTGGATGCTTCGCCTGTGCTCATTTGCCGCTTTTGTCATCTCCTTCCTCGTCTCGCTCGCCACATTCAAGTCCTGGGCCGGCCTTGGCCCCACCAACACCGTCGGGCTCTTTGTCGTTCTATACCTGCTCAACGGCATCCAACTGCTCGTCTACATTGTCCTGCAGACTCTCTTGGTCTTGCGCACCCTGCAGGACCGCTGGCCCCTCGGCGACATTGCCTTCGGCGTCTTCTTCCTCATCGCCGGGCAGGTCCTGCTGTACGCCTTCAGCTCGCGCATCTGCGTTGCCATCAGCCACTACCTCGACGGCCTCTTCTTCGCTACCACATGCAACTTGCTGGCCGTCATGATGGTCTACAAGTACTGGGACTCCATCACCAAGGAGGATCTCGAGTTCTCCGTTGGCACCCGCATGAACAACTGGGAGGTCAAAGAGCTGATGCCTGAGGAAGACCGGCGCAACACGATCTACACCGAGGATCCCTATGGCCAGTCAAGCGCCTATGACCACCCTTATTCGCCTACAGGCAACCGATTCTCGAAATACTAGATGGACGGCCAACAGCAGCGGGAAATATCTCTCCTTACTACCACTCCTTCACATTTTACTATGTTCTTTAATATCACTACCGGGGTTTGCCGCCATGTCCTTTTCTTTTTGACTCCTAATTTCTCTCTTACTCTCGATTTGTTTCTTTATCTCCAAGAACAGCTCTGTCTGATGGACCGGGAGGTGGATATACGGAATTGTCGCATATGAGCGCTGGATTTGTTTTGTTTTATGGCGTTCAGCTTTATGTATCAAGCTTTGTTCCCGGGTTTATGAAATATCGTTCCGTTACCTTTTTTTCACCCTTTCTGTGTTTCTCGTGTTCTCGTTGTATCGACGGATGTCTAATTGCAACGAAGGAAAATACATAGGTGCGTGTTGCTGGCGGTGTTCATCATTATCTATTGTAAAAGAACATCTTCTACATACATAATGACTATTTCAGATGGCGTACATGCAAGTCGTAAAGGTTCATTGAGCTGATAGTGGCCAAGATTGTGACGCAGCATGCACCCGGCCAACACCTGAGGCCCAAGCAGCAAGCTGCACAAACTGGAAGTCTTATTTTTGCTGGTACTTTTTGTACCAGGTCTTTCTGAAACATTTTACAGAGCTCATTTTATATACCGCTTTATAATCTATATATCATGTATATCTCTTTCAGAAATTGACACCCTATCTATTTATAATCTCTTTGGGATGCTCATGGAAAACAGTAAACGGGTTCAATGCGGTGACAGCAGTTGGCAGACTTAAGACAGAACTAACGGCGAATATTCATAGAGAAAATGAATGTTTGCCATATTCACTTGGGGATTTGTTTAATTCTACTGATATGACAATCTCTCTGCGAATGAAGATTTACGTCGTAGTGGTTTGGTAAGCCTCCTTTTTGAAAAGTACGGCGCCTCTTATAAACACTTTCTTGATGAACTGGGCTCCGATCAAGATCGGCTTTGAGTGGGAAGCACCATCCCCAGGACCTCACGGATATATTTACAAACGAGGACGTGAAAAAAGTAAACAAAATTTCCTCCACAATTAGCTGGCTGTGCTGCTGTGACGGTGATCCTGCCGTTGCTTCCTTCGAAAGCACGCCGTACATATTTTCTGTTTTGTACAACACGCCGGTTCGTTATATTCCGAACTGGTGCATAACGACAAGACGCTATAAAAGAGCCTCACAGTATTTGTTGGCACTGAGACATCGGACCTTTCAAAAAAAAAAAAAAATCGGAATACTGTTTTCCAAAGGCCATTGTATCAATGCTTGCCGCCGCCGTCAGTCTTGCTTCTATTCAATTGTATTGTTTCTTTGTTCTACTGTTGCATACTTTGAGAATATAATTTCGCCTTCATAGAATGGCCAGGTCGCAGTGAAATAACAAGCTGTCGTAGCACAACGTCTTGTTACCTCAGAAATTCTGTATCGGCGGTGTCTCTTCCAACTTAGCACCGACGATGATACATTTTGACCGCAATCTGGGGCACCTAACGTCCTGTTGGTTCTAACTATCTGGTATTCTCTTCATATGGAGCAGATGAGAGTTTGTTTCTTAGCGTTTCTTCGTCGTCTAGCTTTTAGCGCATTGTCTCACATATTGCCTCCCAAACCTCCCCTGTTTGGCTGTCGGGTTCGTAAGGTAATTGTTCGTTAGCCCGCTGCAGGGCTATGTACCTTTCGCCGCAACTGCCCTGCAAAAAGTGAGGTGAACTCGATACGTGACCTCAATGGGTCGCGCCTGCCAAAGCCTGCGCCATGCATGGCCCTTTTCCCTTACCTTTAATTTTTCCGTCTCGTCCTGCGCGCCACGACTGCTCACGCTCTCTGCATTCAAACCTCATCGCTCCTTCTGCATTGGTCTTGTCAACCGTTTTTCCTACGCGCTCCTTCCTTCTCAGTGACAATAGCCCCTTCTCCTCCGTCACCTAGCTGCCCCAGAAACATTATAATCGCCTTCTCCTACTGCTTCGTCGTCGTCTTCTTCTTCTTCTTCTTCTGTCATCCTTCTGCTTCCCCTTCCAGCTCTTGAAGCGCATTCTCCATCATTCCATCTCCCACCACCCACTTTAAATCCGTCTTTCACACAGCTCCTAGGCGCATCACGAGCCACATCCACATCCAGCATTGTTACACCTCCTCGAGTACACTGCGGTGTGCTGCGGAATTTTGCGCTCGTCTTCATTGCCCACTTTCCTATATACCATCACCTCTCTCCCACCTGTCATCGTCCTCCCCAACCCTCATCCTTGAATGCGGCTGGACTACGATGAGGTAGTTCTCGGCCCGACCGCCGCCAACGGTTTCTGAACGTCAATTGCCGCCCAGCAGCAGGATACCAAGACTGCAGTGTGTCGGTCTAGGTTGTTTTTGATTGCTGGGAAACAGCACGATCGGGTTTCTGCTCTCCTCACTCTCACGAAAAACAAAATAAAATTGATGCTGTTGTCTTTTCCCCGTCGCTGGCCTAGTGATACCAAGGTGTTAGATGGCCCTTCTCTATATTTCCTTCAGCATCGATTCCGCAACCTTTGAGACCTCGTTGTCAGCTGTTGTCGATACATGGAAGCACTTCACCACCTCACTAATTTCCTTACATTTTACATAAAGATCATTCCCTGCTTACCTTATATCGTCTCGCCACCCCTCGTTTTCCAGGTCTTCGGACCCAATTAACACAGACATCCGCGCTGTCCTGTCCATGTCACTACCGGTCCAACTTACACTGGATTGGTAGGATGTCGAACGGAGTGGCGCCGAATGGTTCCGCCCACACCGCTGGCGGCAGTGTTCCTGTCCCTGGCGTCGGCGTCGGCGCTGGTGATGCTTCAGCCATCGGTGTTCAGCCTCCGAGTCTTCCCGAGGACGATGATGCCGACTACAACTGGGACGAGGTAGAGGAAAATTGGCTACAGCAGATTGCGGAAGCCCGCGCCAAAGAAGACCGCGAGATGGTCGAGGAGTACAATGAAGAGGAGGAGCTTCTTCGCACCGAGCTAGATGACGCCGTATGCGAGCATAATAGGCTCACAGAGACACTGCTGCAAGCTCGTGTGCTCGTCGACGAAAAGAAGGCCGATCTTGAGTGGCTCGTGGCCGAGTTCAGAAAACGCCGAAAGGCCATTGAAGATCGCCGCGCCGCCGATGACTTCCGCGTCCGGGCATGGATCACGAAAGGGCGGCGCTTTATGGACGCTCGCCAGCGCCAGACCATGGGCAATGTGACAGCCATGCACATTGACAGCCAAGGATCGGCAATGAACTGGGACAGAGACAACAGCCTGTCGCTCTTGACAGACTCCGGCAGCCACCCAGCCGACCAGTTTACCAGGGCTTCTGTCCCACTCCACAATAGCGCCAATGGCACCACTAATGGCGATCTCCACGGTCACAGCCAGACAAGCCCCTCGCCGCATGGAGCAGCACCCCCTCCAACTGTGCCGACCGATCATCACAGCGCTCCCGAATACCTTCCTAACGCTGACGGGTCGGTGTCCGTGGTCAACACGTCGGGCGACTGCGTTGGCAAGGTCATACCCATCCGCCCCGAGAACCACTGGGTACAGGCCCTGCTCGAGAGACCAGTGCGGCGTGCTGTTGAAATTCGACTAGGTCGCAAGTTTAAGCAGAGTCACTTGGATGCTATCTATGAGGGCCACGACCAGAAGAGATCCAAGTGGCTGAGCTTTATGATTCAGGCAACCGGTGAGATCCAGGATCGGGCCTGCCAGACGTGCGCAAAGGGCCAAGGACTCTTCTCCCTTTGCATTATCGTTGGTGGCACAGACTTCCCTCGTTGTGGCAATTGCGAATGGAACAAGCAGGGCTGTCACGGTGCCTCTGTCCGGGCCGCCAACCGAGTACCACTCCCCACTGCGGCACCCAAAGCGGCATCGAAGCAGCACCAGCCGCCTCTCAGTGGCTCAGCTGGAACACCTACCAAGCAACCAGCCAATGATTCTTTCAGCCAAGGCTCTCCCATGGCTATGGACAACCCGGATTCTAGGCCTTCCAGTTCAAGCAAGCGCGGGCGAACCAGCCTTCCTCACTACCAGTCGCCAGACGCCTCGCAACATTTTGAGTCATTCATGGTCAGGGAACTCTCCCCACCCGGGAATGCATCAGACGAAATCACGGCCGATATGATTGCGCTGCGCGATGACGGCATGATTTTCCTGGAGCCCGAGTTGATGCATGGCGTTCCTCTCCGCAAGATCTCGCCTGACCATGCCTACTGGGAACGAGGATGGAAGCCGTTTGAGGGTGCCATCCAAAGTAAGCTCGAGGAATGGACGGACAAGCTTGCCAAGCTCAAAGCTCTCCCGGATTCTTCCTTGACCGACAAGGAGCGGACAGCGGTCTTCCAAGCTGGCCGTCAGGTGAACCGAGGCAAGGCCACAACACGGTATCTCGCCACGTGCGATTTCCATCCGTACCAGCTCGTCAGTAAGAAGTGGATCACGCCGTCGTTAACTCATTATGACACGTTGTTCCGCATGGTTGCAACGCTTGACGAGCTAGCCAAGTTTCGCTTGGATGTGACCCCTTTGCAGTGGCTCCGACAGCGCCTGTACGAGATCTACCTGGAGAAAAAGGGCAACTTCAAGCTCGACCGTGCCATTGCTAAACTCTACCACGACCCTAAGCTGGCTCACCTGCGCTCAAAAAACGGGTTTGGCAACATTGGCCGTCCGTCAGCTGCGTCGAAGCCTCGCGCCACTGATGGCGGCACTAAACCGGGCAGCGCCGATGGCAGCCCTGACAAGAAGCCAACGGGCGAGAAGCGCACAGAGCCGCCACTGGGTGACACCAACAACCCTACGCCGTCCAAGCGCGTCCATTTGGATTCTGAAAAGCGCGCAGGCAAAGACAGCACCGCACAGAGGACAAAGAAAAAGCAATCGGCACGCTCTCTAGGCATGGCGAAGCCTGGTACGGCCACGCCCACGGCCAACCCACGTGTCCGGAAGCCACCTTCGTCAAAGACGCGCGACGACAAGGCTCCAGCGTCTACCGCAGGATCTGTCTCAACGTCGACCGCTCCTAGCCGGGCAGCCTCGCATGCTACTGACGCCGTGCCCGTGTCCACCGAGGACGAGGACCTGGAGTACTCTGGCTATACGACGACAGACTCCTTGACCCATGATATGGTGGTCAAGAAAGACTGGCGCGTGTATCAGGTCAAGACGAAGGATCTTGCCACGAACCCGCAGACGACGCAGTACTGGCACTGGGTGGATAGGGAACAAGCCTACAAGTCAGGACCTGACGGTCGTCGCGACTTTGATCCTATGTTTGAGCACCAGGTTCTAAAAGAGACAGAACCGACTATTGGCTGGGGTGTCTTTGCTGACCCCGTCGATTTCCATCTGCGCCTGCGGGAACTAACCGAAGTGTCGTTTGCGCCCGACTCCGACATCATTGTTATTGGCACTCGAGAGGTTAAGGGCATCGAAGGCCGAGGCAATGTTCTGGCACAATTCAAACGAGAGCGCACCAAACGCCGATTTCTTGCTTTCCTGAAGAAAAAAGGCGTTCCTTTGCGGAAGACGGATCGGCACGAAATCGAGACCGAGTGGGACGGAATTCAGGCAGAGGTAATGGCGGGCAACGAGTCCGATTAATCTCACACCTACTATATCCTCCTAGTCTGCGTGCTATATATACAATTATGTGTCACTGTCCGTTGCTTGTATGTACAATGCGATGCGACTTGGAAGAAGAGGAGGCAAGGAAGAGAAGGCGTTAGTGATTATTGATACTGTTATTTTCATTTGGGGCTTTGGTTGGAGCTACAAGGCAAATGGGCGGGCCGAAGGCGCTATTGCACGCTCTGTTTAGTCTTTTTGGGGGGGGCACAGCGAGGAGTTGTGCGAATCGGCTTGGTTTTGTTGACATTTTTACAAAACCATTTGATCTCAATAATCATGTATTCTATTGTTTGTTCGACTATTATTTGAATCACTTTTTAAAGTATCATATCCAACTTCAAAGCAGTCGATTTCGAGTATGCCAAGTAGCTTTGATGCCACGGTTACCGGCCCTGTCATTGGACAATTGTATTACATAAGCAGGAAAAACTACGTCCGGAAGGCTCTAAACTTTGCAATGGCGTGCATCGCATCAACGTCGAACAACGATACACCACAACGACACGAAACGACGATGTGAGATAACGAACCACGAGCGCATGTCAACCTACATTTACAATCGACCGAAAAGACGTAACTCGTGACCGACGAACCAAATCTCCTCCTTCCACGAGTCGGTGGACTCAAATACAATACACACTCGCACACCACTTCAAGATGTTGTACGAGTTAATAGGGATTGTATGTCAGCTGGCCGAGAATGAAGATTTGTGCGTACGCCTGGAACACTTACTAACCGCTGTCTCCGTCACCAAATAGGCCCGCCCGGGACACATCAACGAAGTCCGCGAAATCGTCCTCACCAGCGGCCAGCTCATCCTCCGCAACGGCGGTGTCATCCGCTCTATTGCCAACTGGGGCGTCTTTTCGCTACCCCGCCGGCTGTCGGTGCACCAGGCCAAGTACACTCGGGGCCACTACTTTGTGATGCGGTTCGATGGCAGCGCGGAGGCACAAAACGCGGTGCGCACGACACTGAAGCTGGACCCTCGGATGATTCGGACAGCGTTTGTGCGGCTGGGCGACGACCGCAAGCTAGAGAACACGGCTCGGTTTGGCGAGATCCTGTGGTCGCAGGCGTTTGAGCGGAGTTAAGGGGGCGTCCACGACGATCGAACCAGACATTGGGAGGGCACAACAAGAACGATCGTGAGTGATCGAGGACAAGCGTCACATACCAACACGGCCAGCCCCAGACAGGAACCAACAACGAAACGAACGGCCTGGCAAACAGGCAGCGAGCATCCACTCGAGACAGCCCGCACTATCCTTCTTTTGTACGATATATAAAAGCAAATAGGAGTACGGAAATATGCAGACACGCAAGCTATTGTATATATACACTTAAGGTATTTGAGAGCATAGATTCATTATTTTACGACTAAAGGACATCCATCCTTGGCACGCAGGTCACGTTCCATTCATCTGTATAATCTCGAGCTCCGGGCAGAGTTGGCTATCGATGCAATGAATTATTTTTATATTTGTTCATGAGTAGCCATAGCAATATATACTTTTACTCTTTTCTAAGAATGCATACAGGCAGGAATATGAAGGAGCACATAGACGTAGAGGTGCAATGGTACAAAAGCGTGTATGTCGTATAGATATGTACGACCCGATACGGCAGACAGAAGTCGCTATCTATTCGGAAGTGTCCATGGAGTCCTTCTTGTTGCCTGTGTAGCCCTTTTCGTTGCACCACGCGACAAAGTCGTCGATGACGCTAGGCCAGGCGCCGTCTTCGTTCCAGAAGCCCAATGTCTCGTCCTCGCTACACTTAATGGCGAATTCGAGCGTCTGGTTCCACATGTCGCGGTTAACAGACCGCGTCCACTTCTCCTCAAGGAACGCGATCCAGAGCGGGGTCCAATCGCGCGAGGCCGTCTTCCAGGGGCGGCCGGGTGCCGCAAAGAGGACTTTCCAGAACTCAATTGCATTCTCCAGGCTCATAGACCGCTGGTCAGGCTCTTTTCCGGCACCAAATGTGTACCGGTATACCCGCTTGAAGTAGGCAAGGTCGGTTGAAAAGTGTTTTAAGAGGGTCGTGATGTATTTGGCCTGTTCCTCTTTTGTTACGCTGCCACTAAAACGGAAGAATGTGTGTGTCAGTCCCAACAATTTCTCCTACCGGGGTGTCACCGTCTTCGCCCTTTCCACCTGTACTAACCTTGTCTTCCAGCCATCGACAAAGCCCTTGCGGGTGATCTCACCAAGACTCGGTGCTTGAACCAGCTCCAACGCCACAAAAACTTCTCCGCTTTCCGGGTTCAGTCCTAAGGATGTCAAGTAGGCCATTGTTGACTCGACTCCCAGCGCGTCCTTGGCATCTTGTGAAGGATCTGATGAATTGCTCAGTTAGCCATCTGAACACCAGAACACCTCAACACCAAGATACATATGCATCCAAGCACCAACGACGTCATAGCTCACCTTGTAACTCATCAAACATCGCGTCCAGCTTCGGCTCTGAACCGTTGGAAATGGCCCCGCCGCCGGCTGCCAAGTTGTTGAAGTACCTAATACTCAGGTTAGCAAGGCATGGTCAGTGTACAACAACGCTTTCCAAACCCAGTAACAAGTAAAGGCAACGAAGAGAAAAGAAAACCACTAAAAGGTGCAACGACAATATGTAGACTAGGATGGTGTGGGAAAGGAAAAAAAATAAACAAAAGTTCCACAGCCGTAGAGCAGAGTAGTCATGACTTCACTGACACTGCAGTTACCAGAACGTGTTGTCTTTTTTCCCGCATAGCTGCGTACCCTCCGTGCTCTTTGCCTCGACCGATCCGAGGAGCCTTGATTCGGATGCCTTTTGTCGAGGAGGTGTCGGTTTGCTGTTTCTGGACGTTCTGCCCGCTCTGCCCATGCCCATTTTGCCGGCTTTGGCCACTTTGCAGGTCGTCCTTGGATTTGGTCAGATTCCATAGTGAATTCGAGGATGACGAGGCCCAGTGTCGACTGGACGGGTCGTTTTGTAATCTCTGGCTGTACACATCGTCCTCGCTCGGCGAGTCTGTGTCTGTCTGCGGTCCTTTTCTCCCGTGTTTGTCCGAGGATATGCGAAAGAGTCTCTTGATGTTGAACACCATGGTGCAGATCGTGAGGAAGGAGGCTATTGGGCGTATTTGGAAAGTGCCTCTCTGTATCTTCGGAGTAGATTCAAAGTAAAGCGTTGCACCTTGCAATACAGTATGCCACTAGAAGCAAGTCAAGGTCCGACAACACTGCTCGAGCGGACCGAAAACCGTGCAACGACCCCAACAGTGGTTTGGCGCCGTGGAAGGCCAGTGGCCAAAGGTCCTAAAGCGTGACGGTGCAGTTGCGCACGGCAGCGAGAGGTCGAGCCGAAAACTATGGATTTATGCGGCCAGCGACTCCATAATGGTTTGTGGGTTTGTAGGTGCGAGGCGCGTGTAGTATATTTTGTGCAGCGGAGGTCGTGCGCAATGTGTCGTATGTGTGATGGTTTCTTGGACGGAGCCTCGATTTGGCTGTAACAAGACTAACACGGCCTGTTGGAGAAACTGATGGTGGCAGAGGTAACCTGCCCGTTGCCTCCTGACCGTATGGACACCTGGCTTCTGGATTTGGATCTTCTGTTCCTAGTTCTTGCCACAACCTCTCTCACTATGGTGTGGGTGCGAGTGCAAGAGTAGTCTGTGCAGATTTGCAGGTCGACATGGGACTGTGTGTGGATTGGTAGATCTCGAGATGTGCGGCTTAACGCCAATGCAGGCCGGGACGCTTTCCTCTTTCCCCCAAGTATAAAAACGACGTTCGTAAAAAAGGTCCGATGCAGCCGTGCAGAGTAGCAACCGAAGTGACAGGGCCAGCTGACAGAAAGGGCACAATAAAACGGCTCAATGCGTTATTGGGAGATCCAGGTGGGGAGTACGTCGGAGTTGTTGAGCAGTCGACGAGGGATGTCGTAAAGTCGTGGAGACGTAGGCAGTGCCCAATAGCGGGAACGGGAGCCAGATCAAGACAAGGGCCAGTACATGAGGTGGGGGTTTGAAGAAGCCAGAGAAGGATGGAAGAAGTGAAAATGGGAACGGGTAGACAAGGCCGGGGAAAAGGCCGAAGAAAGGCAAAAGGACAAAGGACAAAAGGCTGAACGATGCAAGACAAAGGAATGGACAAAAAAATAGCACTAGCGACCCTCAACGCAAGAAACGAAAAGGAATGATAATAAAAACTTACAAGTCCGCCGCTTGATCGAGCTTAAAGTTGGTGGACTTCAGCGCCTGTAGATTTACCCGATAGCCCCGTCAGCGGAATGTCTCTCGAAGCTTGTGGGAAGGAGCAAACCGTCGATCGGGCTAAACATAGAACAGCAGGTGCCGCCAATGCCGTCGCCAGGACACGCCAAAGACACCAAAACGACCAGATGGCAAAAAGCACCACAAAGACACCACAGAGACATCGAGGAATGGCCCTTCAAACCACCCGACATGACCAACTCAAATCGTCGCAGACGCCATTGCGAGTATTGCAGCCGCCAGGTAAAAGAGAGTTCCCTCCATAGACAAAGGGACAGCCCTTGTCCGTTGCAATGGGCCAGCATATTTGTTTGGGAATCTGTTTTGCCCTTTTGGTATCCGGATCGCCTGTGCCATCTGGGTCGTCTGGGTCATCTGGGTCGCTTCACTGTTGTTTTTGTGGTGTCTTTAGGCCCCCTGCTGGCGGTGTTGCTGCTCTGCAGTGCTGTGTTCTGCTTGTGCTCCGAGTCGGGGACAAATAGAAAAAGAGCAATGGTTGTGGTGATCCACCCAAATAGGGCCGAATAGCGAATAGCGACATGCAACCTAACCCATCCGCGGCGCCCGCAGCTTTTCGCCGCATACGAAGGGACCGTGGGAAGCGGAATAGGGAGGCAAGAATTCCGATAAAGAGCGAGGGCAACGTGCAAGCTGACAAGGCATTTGCTTCTGGTCGAGTTGTCGTGTCGTCTTCCGCTTCTGTGTTGTCTTTGTCCATGTTTCTTCACCCTTTCTTTCCTTCTCTTCAACAATTCCACTTTTTTTTCTGTTCTGCTTATTCTTTCTCCTCCTCTTTTCAACAACGGATTTTTCGCCCTGTTCCAGCATTATGGCTTTGAAGCATGAGCGTCTTTCCGCCACGCGATCTGTGTTCCTGTGTCTTCGGCTCTCGATTCTTCGTCTTTTGTTCCCAGCTTTAAGTCTTCCGTCGGTCGTTCCGTAGCCTTGCTCTGATCGCCGCCGTCCTGTCGCTTGCTCGTCCCATTGCTCTTGCCGGATTTGCTGACCGTCCACACAAGCTCGTGAAGCGCAGAACACAGCCCTGCAACAGTAGCCCCAAGCCAGGGCTGCCAACACAACGACGGATGTACAAAAACCGAGCAACTCGACTTTATTCCAAACACCCGAAGGTTTCCGGAACAGACAATCGGAAGGAGAGAAGCAAAAACATAAATTGGCAAAAAGAAACGATCACCACTTACCTTCAGTGCGGCACGTTCGTTGGCTCCCGTAGCCTGCATGAACTGGGCCAGCAGCATACGCTGTGTAGCGGTTAGAGGCGGCATGTTGGTAGCCCGTTTATTTGCTCTGGAGGAGGACAGAGATTCGAGGTGATGAAGGTAGGTTGGTTCGTAAATTATATGTAGGAGAAGAGCACAGCTCTGATCGAAATCGTAGCTCGCCCGGCTTCCGAGGACCAGCTGCCCTTGGCTAGGCGTGTGTGGATATGTGTGTATGGCCGGTGTCGCCCGTCTCGACAGCAGAAGACTGCCTCCGTTTGTTGCGATTGTCTCGACAATTTTCCACAAGTTCTGCCCTGTGTCGAACAAAGTCCGAATGTCTGGAGTCCGCACGTGTGTGTTGAGGATGAGGCGGGACAAGGAGCACAAGAAATGAAAACAGATTCGTAGCGTCTCCGTCGAGAAACGCGTGTTACGGAGATCTCGAGGAACTATCGAAGTGGCGGGTGAATGAACCGAAATGTTGCGACACTGCTGGGTGTATATGCTGCTTGTGGACAGGGGCTAATAAAAGTCGGGGCTATCGAAGAACCAAGCCGGTAGTTTCCGTTGTAGGCAGATGGTAGGGCAGGGCAAGGTCGTGTCTGCCACTATGAGCTGAAGCAGTTTCTCGATACGTCTCTGTTGCTTCAACCGTTCAAGGAGAGGCGAAGGGAACGTCGTTTCTCGAGCGGTGTCGTGTACGGCACTTGCGGCCCTTGCTTGATACGGTGGTCCTGCTGCGTACTGCTGGGTACGACCCGTACACCATGTGTTGCGGGCATGTAAAGGCTCTCTCCTCCGGTGGAAGACGGGCACCAGTCGTGTGTTGTGGATGCAGGCGCGTTGTGTCGTCCCAGGATGCTGGGAGAAACAAAGTACGCCGGGAGACTAGCAGAGGGATGCAAAGAAGGGCAAGCGAGGTGTGAATGGAAATGGTAAAATGGCAAGGCGTCGTGACCAGTTCTTTCCCTGTGAGGTTTTACCAAAATAGGTTCCGTGTAGGGAAAGAGTGACTGTCGGTGCTTTCTGGGTCTCTGGTTCTTTCCCTCTCCTCTTTATTAACGCCGGCTTTTTTGTCGTCAAGCGGGGGTGACGAAAGAAGTGAACGGCTGGGGTTGGTGGGCCGCGCACATTCCCAGCGCAGCATGCCCAAATGGCGGGGTCTGGACGGGTCTGGCTCATGGCCTGGACGGAAGGCATATTGCGACAAATCACAACAACAATTGACAGATGCACGTGACGGAATTCAAAATACTTCAACCATGCAGGCCGAAAAAATACAGATCGTACGTCATTGTAATGTCAAATTACAATCGTCAATGCCAAACGATTCACACTGGCTCTATGTTGCACCTAGGATGCTTTGATACATATAAACACAGGTAAAATACAGTACGCCAGAAAGTGAGACAAGGCATAGCAAGAGATCGCAGAGAAATTAAAAAAAGAAACAACTAACAGAACATAAAGACAAAACATCGGCCGAAGGGTATTGAAAAAGTCGATCGGTGTGTGAAAGAGACGGGAGAACAACCTCGCCTCGGAGCAAAACAACGCTGAACGATGACGATAGAAAGAAAAGTAGACAAGAGCATTGATAAGAGACTGAATATACTCCCTTCCCCTGCTCTGTCACTCGCCCAACGGCATACCGTCCAGCTCATCAAGCAAGCGCCGCCAGTTGTCGGCCAGCATCTCCGAGTACTTGACGCGCTCCTGTGCCCAGTCCTGGTTCCAGCGCGAGATGTGGTACTGGGTGGCCTGAAAATAGAGAAGTTCGTCGCGCAGGCACTCCTTGACGAAGACGGAGCGGTTGTGCTGCTGGACAATGGTCTCCTTGTCCTTGATGATGGCGTCGATGACCTTTTCAATCTCACCAGGCTTCACAAGGCCCTCGGGTTTGGCGCGCAGGGTCGCCAGCTTGGACTCGTTCTTTTGGATGCGGCGCTCAAGCATGGGGATGGTGTCGCGGTCGTTACGCTCGCGACGGTCAAAGAGGTCGCGGAGGCCCACCAAGGCATCGCGCTGCCGCTTGAGGTCTTCCAGCACGCCGGCATCCCAGGCGCGCGACTCGTCCTCCATGAGTGTCTGGCCCGTGCGCAGGTGCTTGCTCATGGCGACGAGACCGTCGTTGAGAAGAGGCACGAGGTTGGTGTCGGTGGCATAGACGTCGGCGCTGGCCTCGGTCAGCGACTGCAGGGACACGGCCATGCGGGCGTGGTCGTTGGCCACGCCCTCGCTGCGCTTGACCAGGCGATCCATAATGTTGCAGGTCGTAATGTACAGCTCAGCCGAGCGGCGCACGCCCGACCGTGTGCGGTCGAAGAGCTCATTGAGGGAGGGGGACAGCGACTCCTCCAAGCCGGGCGGCAGGGGGCGGCCGGCAAACTCGTCCTGCACAGAAATTGTCGCCTGTTTACGCCACACAGAGAGTTCCTGCTGTTGTTAGAGACAGAAACATGAACTCAAATAAACGATGTGGTGGTGGACATACCGTAGGAACAGTCAGGAACATGACGACGAGCTGCTCCGTGCTGAGCACAGGATGCCGTGTCAGAGCATTGAGGAAGCGTGCCAGGCCGCGCCTGCGCTTCTCGATAAAGGCACCGTCGTTCGACAAATGATTGCCATTGACTGCGACGCGCTTCGGCGGCAGGAGCGGCAGTACGCGGTATGGGTACCGCTTGTGCAGACATTCCAACAACCACACGAAGTCGCTGTAGCGGCGCACAACCTTGCTACCGCGACGGGTGCTGGAAACTTCGTAGTTGTGGTGTTGGAACATGAACAGACCCTCTTTCTCTGGCATCAGCGTGACGAGAACGTTTTCTTCAATTGCGCTGCCCGTGCGGCCACCAATGTTGCCAATGGTCCGGGAAGGGGGTGCACCGCCGCGCACAGTAGAGTTCCCATTAGCGCCGAGACCGCCGTTGTCATTACCAGTCGGCAGCTCGCCAAAGCCGCCGCCAAGGTTACCGACGGCTGGGCTGCCGCCGCCGTTGTACATGTCCCAACCTGATCCCGAGTTCCGTGCGTTTCCACTGGTAATGTTGGGCTGCGCGTCGGCCGTACTGCCACCGCCGATGACGGTCGCCTCGGGCGTCGTTGTGAAGTTGGATGTCGTTCTTATCGGGAGGGCGTTGCTGGGGCTCGAAGCAAAAATCCCATTGCCATTGGCGTTGGGATCGGAGCGTGTGGTTGCGTCGGCACCTGCGTCGGCACCAGCATCGGCACCAGCATCGGCACCGCCGGTCACTGTTGAGGCATCGTCACCTGTGCTGACCCTCGCGGCCGGTGCAATATCGGGATGGTGGTGGTCTTTATGCAGATCGGGCGAGCTCCACGGATCGTCGGAGCCGTAGTCCATCGGAGCCTGGCGAATGTCTGACGCCGGTTTCAGCTGAGGAAAGGCAGATGGCGGCTGGTAGGACGATTGGGGCGGCGGTGCTGCTGCTTTGGGGGTCGGTCGGAAGGGAGAGGAATCGGTCTGGGACTGGGACGTAGGGGCAAAGCCAGTTAGAGTAGGACGGGGAAGATCTGTTTGACAAGGCGACCTGGGTTAGCTCTATGTGATAATTCCATGTGCAACGTAGACCCACCAAATCGCGCGTTCGCCTTTGATTCGCCACCACAGCAACAGACGCCCAGCGCAATCAACAATACATATGGGCAATGTAGTGGGATAAGATAATACGCAACGAGGTGCGCCATGGCTGGATACTGGCAACAGGATTGAAAACGGAAAAAAAAAACGAAAAAGGGGAAGGGGGAAAAAATGGCAAATGACAAAGTCAAAACTTGTAGAGAAAGGACTCACTTCGCCGGCGCTCGTCTACGCCGTCGAGACTAATCACCTCGCCTTCCTGGGCAAGCCCGATCAGGGCCAGCAGCACGTTGAACTCGTTGCGTCCCAGAGCAATGGTGCTGTTGCCGTCGTCGTCGGTGGTGTTGCTGCCGCCCGGTGCAATGACGTTCATAATGGCAGTCTGGCTGTCGGCGTCGAGCTTGGAAGCGGCCAATGTGCGGGCCACGCCGCCGGCAGACACAATGCTTTTGGAAGACGAATTGCCATTGTCATCGTCGTGTACGGCGACCTCAAAGGCGTTGTGGTAGGCGTCAGGGACGTCGGAAGCGGGCAGCAGGCCGCGCAACAGCTCTGCGCGAGTTTTCTTTTTGCGCGGTGACGGCATGTCCCACGGTGATGGTGCGTCGTGGCTTTTATCGGCATTCTTGGTCGTCGTATCGTCGTCGTCTTCGTCCTCGGCGTCAAAAAGGTGGTCCGAGTTCGTGCGGCTGATGCCACCTTCGTCGTCAAAAAGGCCGTGGCGCGAGCGGGCAAATGAGGAGTGCATCGACGGGTTGACGTTTTCGTCCGGGGGCGAGGTGCCGAAGAGCGACATAGTGGCCGTTGGGGAGGGAAACGGCAAGCAGTGGATCGGATGGTAAAGGTCGAACGCCTGTACGTCGTATGGTAGGGCTATCGTGGTCGATCGCTGTTGGTTGCTGTTGAGAGAGTGAATGGACAGTGAGAGGTGATGACAATGACGACGACGACGAATAGACAAGTGAGAACGCGCAGATGCGGCACAACGCCGATACAGCCAAATACAATCGGGGAGCACACAAATAATCCCGAGGAAGAAAGGTCCGTGAAAAAATACGAGCAAAAGATAGTGACTAGTGGCAAGTCGTGGGAAACGTTCGAGTCTGGTCAAGGCTCAGGAAATGGATCACGAATGGCTTTGGAAAGAGGCGTCGGAGAGCTCCTTCCTGCAGATTGCGGGCAGGTGCTACAAAGTGGAGACGGAGTGGTGTCAGTGACAGTTGGCCAATCAGAGGGGCAGATTCTTGACACTGGAGGCCAACGCTGCGACAAGCTCTAATGGGGTCGTCGCAGGGGCCTGTAACCGCCGTAATCGAAAGGGCACCTAAGTTACATGCGGCAACTCGACCCCAGAAAAAGATAACAAAATACAGAATCACAACACTCAGCCAGCAACCACTACACGACGTATGTGGTTCAAGAATAGTGTAACAAGAGGCTTTTGTATAGATTATCATATCGTACAAGTACATGTCAAATGCAGTGTCTCTAGAACAGCACATCTTCCTCCTTCTTCTGGATAATGACCTTGCCGCCCGGCCGCACAATCCGCTGCACGCCAGGCACCTTAAAGTACAAACTCGGCGACTCACCAGGCTTCAGCTGGTCGCTCAGGTAACCACGGTGAGCCGGGTCGCGGTAGTACTCAATGTCCCAACGGCTTGTGGGATCCGGTAGCCGGCGCAGATGCGGCGCCGCGCGCAACTTGGCCACGGCAGCCTCGACGTGCTCAGGGCCCGTGGCCATGGGTGTACTCGATATGACGCTCTTTCCCTCAAGCAGCCATTTGATCGACTGTTTCGTAAAATAGCGCGTGACAATCTTGCCTCCTACGGCCTCGATGGCGTCGATGGCGCCGGCCGACGCACGCGACACCAGCAGGTCGACGGGCGTGCGGAGGTCCTCTTTGCCACGGGCGAGGATCTTGATGCCGTCACGGACCTTGCCAACAAGGCCCGACTCGATCAACTCGCGCGGTGTAATCGGTTTGGTGGCGTCGATGCGGCCGGCGTCGATAAAGGCCTGGAGGCGATCGAGGTTGACTTCGGACATGACGTCGGCGCGGCTGCAGTTGTCAGTGTGAGGTCAAATAAAAAGAGTCATACCACCGCAACATCTCCCTCGCAGGTTGTACGCACTGGTTCACAAAGCCCTTCTTGCCCCACGTCCGGATCAGCGGCGTCTGGCCGCCCTGGAACCACGGCTTGACCTTGCCGTGCTGGCCCTGGCCCTTGTGACCACGGCCGGACGTCTTACCCTTGCCCGACGAGGGACCGCGGCCGACACGGATGCGCTTCTGGTGCGCGCCCTTGTTGTCCCGTAGGCTGGCCAAGATGCTAGCGTCGCGTGTCTGGATCGTCAATGCCGCAAAAAGAGGCACCAGCGGTGACCTGGAGGTGGTTGATGTTATCGATGAGGTAGGCCGCGCAAGCCGGGCGGCGACGGCGGCCGCCTGACAGCAAGCTGCGACGCCCGAAAGTGCCGTTCGTGTTGCCATCGAGTCGGTTGTGTCGCCGGTGCGGTTGTCGACTCCTGCGCTCGAGAATTGTCAGACCTTAATGAACTCTTTGATCCCTCGAAAAAATTCTTGGGCTAAACCTGATTGACGCATTTTATTGGTCGATACCGCAAGCCAGGTGATGCACGTGACTACTTTAACCAGAAGTGCTAGGTTTAGGAAGCGTTAGTGCACCAGCACAACGGCAACAGCCGGGGCCAGGTTTGCAGCGGCCATCTCATCTTTGTCGTTCAGCCACCTTTGGTCCTACCTGGTGACACGGTTGGATCATGATCTAAAAGGCCCGTGCTATGTAAACTGAGAGACATGCTTCGGTTATGCTATTCTTGTGAATTCCTGAAATGTCTCGTATTCGTTTTCCTTTTGGCGGCTCTCCTACTTCAGAAGTTTACCTATGTCAGTGGACTCGCCAATCTGATTTAATGTATTTGTTCCTGTTTTGCTTGCCTTGGTATCCCTTCCTTGCCTTTTCTCCGCCTTGGAAGAGCCGCCGGCAGTATTCTTTTTCTCCCGGGCCGTTGTAAGGTCCTTGGCATTCTTTGTGCGGATATCTCGGGGGTAAATGGGCCTCTACAGCCTCAATTATCACATACTTTGGGAAGGAAGGCCTGCGACTGAGCTCTATTGTAAGTTCCTTAGGACGTTTATAGAAGTCTTTTCCGCTGGGAGATGAAGCATCATACGTCTGGGTGAAACGTTAATTTTATGATTATTTTTTGGAAGAGAAAACCGATATAATAGGCCTTTTTATTTTGTATTAAAAACCCCCTACCAAAACAAGTTCAATAAGAAAACACGAAATAATTCACCGAAAACTGAGCTATTACATATTCAAAATATTAAAGAAAAAAAGAAAAAAAAATGATCTTGAAGCCTGTCTTTAACAATACCTAAGCACATGTACCACTTTTACTCCGAGACGGCATAGTGCTTTTGTCAATACCTTCACATACAGCCTCATCGTTTGTCCTCATCTGGATAATTGAGTCCTTGAGATCGAGCTTCTGTCGTTACCAAACGTTCGGAATATCGGGATGTAATTGAGAAGGACCTCCTTATTTCGACGTCATGCAATAAACACCAGCGCTGTTGTCTGCTTATTCCAAGGGCGGCTTGCTGTTTTAACGAAGAGAAGCCGACGTGCGGCCCCTTCTGATATGCCTTGCAGTGACTTATATGAAGCCTGCGTATCCCCTTCCCTGCGATCAACGACTAACCAAGCCACAGTTCTCCTTGCAGCTACAAGACAGTACAGTTGATTTGGAAATGTTGAATCAAGCCCTTTTCGTCACCCTCCTGGGCGTTGCCGTGCAGGCTGCCCAACATGACGGAATCTCCATGGACCCTCCAATCTTGCCACAGGTCAACAACCTGGTGTTCTCGGGCGCTGGCTGTTCGCAAGGAACGGCCAACGCAACTTGGAGCCCGGCCAGCTGGTCCGACTGGACCGTCAGTTTGCACGACTTGAATCTTGAAGCCACTGCGAAGCCCGGTCCAGGAGGACTGCCATCCGAGTCAGACTGCACACTCCATGCCACATTTTCAAACACCTCACCTGGTTGGCAATTGGCACTCGAGACAGTGTCCATCCGCGGCTATGCGGCGCTAAGCAGTGGGAGCTCCATCTCGGCGGCGGCAAGCGTGTCATGGGCACCAACCGCTGGAGCTTCTGGAACTGGGCACAGAACGGCGGCACCTGCGCCAGCCGAGCGCAATGTGTCGCTGACCAACAGCCGGACAATGGACGAAGCAAGTGCAATGGGAGCGCTGTTGGACTTTTCCAGCGTACCAGTCTGGTCGGGCTGCTCAGACGGAGCCGAGCTCGGTAACCTCGCTCTCAGATTCCGCTTCGGAGTGCATGTTCAGACCAACTCAACAAATGGCTATGCGGCCTTCGGTGGCCTCGTCGATGACGGCCATGGTGAGATCTCTGCCCGGCCTGCCGTCGTTCAGCATCTTCAGTGGGCGTGGCGTTCGTGCCATGTCACCACGGGCTCGACGACATTCTTTCCAAAGCCCAAGACGACAACACAGGCGACTACCGTAGCGACAAACTCAACGGCATGGACAACCACGGCATCTGCCAACACGACAGCCGCAACAACAACAGTAACGACAGCTGGAAAGGCCCCCCCATTTGGCAACTCGACAACGGCGACGAGGAGCCATCCGACTCGGACGGCCACAACCAAGAGCAGGAGCATTTCCTGGGTCACCTCGACGCAGACTGCCAGCAGCTGGCACAACACCACCACGACACCGCTCTGGACGAACGGCACAAGCACTGGCAGCACATCTCGGGCAGCATTGTTGCCGACACAGAGGTAGTCAGCGGTGTAAGGGCGATGGGGAATCGTGGGAGCAAGAGAAGTTGATATGAATGGAAGCTCATCCAAGGAGGGCTGCTGATATTTAATAATCGCGCTGCTTAAGTTTCTGGAGTACAATAATTAGAAAAGGAAAACATAACAAAGAGAAAATGCTCATGTTCACTCGTCATCGTCGCTGTCACTGCCATAGTCGACTAATGCGGCCGCCGGCTTCGCCTCCTTGGCAGTCTTGATTACCAGCCCGCTCGAGCGTTCCCGCTGTCGTGCCAGAGCCGCTAATGTGGCACTGGAGAGGACACCGCGCGCTGCTGGCGGCTCTTCTGGTGCTGCCTCCAGCTGCTGTCCTTGTGGCTGCTCTCCTTGCGCTTGGCCATTACGCGTATGGGCCTCCCCACCGTCCCTGCCTTCCCTGTCCGCCCGCTCCCGTGCGAACCACACCGCGTCCGGCGCCTCGTACCCTTGCAACCCGAATCCGCCCTCGATACGACGCCGCTTGGACGCATTCGGGTCCCGGCCCTCGAGCTCGGCAATGTAGTCTGCTGGCAGGATCGCGCGAATGGCCGCGGCCGCCTGCTCCTCGACGCGCCGGGCCTCGCGCGCCTGCGCCATGGGGTTGGGGTCGACCGTGGCCCAGCGCACATTGAGAATCTCTTCGTGGTCGAGCGACTGGTGGGCCATGGCCTCCTTGGCGAACTGGGCGTTGGCCTCGTTGGTGTAGGTGACGAACGCAACACCGCGTGTGTTGAGGACGCGCGTGCGCTCAATCTGCCCCCACTCAGCAAAATGGCGGGCGACGACCTCTTCAATGTCGTCGGACACATGGATGCGGCCAATGTAGATCGTGCGGTTAGGCCGCAAAAAGGAGCCGACGCCGCCCATGTCGTCGCGGTAGTCGGAAAACTTGTCGCGGCCAAAACAGTCGACGTTGGGGTTGAAGATGTCGGTGACGGTGGGGAGGCGGTGAAGGTAGGGGCAGTCGCTTCCCTTGGGGCAGAGGCCGCGCGCAAAAAAGAGGCAAAAGTAGGAACCCGAAATGTTGTCGGCGAGGGTGTAGCCCGAGTCCTTGGCCACGTTGCACCGGCCCTTGGCGGCCGTCGAGCTGGCTGCACCGCTTTCCCGGTCGCCGCCACTCCACTTGTTGTACCAGATGCTGTTTTGTTAGAGCATGTCCTCATAAATGAAGTTAAAGACAAGGGTGTTGGGGGCGTGGGGGAGGGGGGGAGGACCTACTTGAAGGTCACGCCAGTCTGTGGTGGTGGCTCGGTACGGAACGTCGCTGGGTCGACCTGTGGACGAGCAGGCCTCCGTTTCCTCCGGATTATTTTGCGTCCTTTTGTTGGTTCTACTGCTGTTGTCGGTTCTGGCCCTTCTGCTGATGTTGTCTTCGCAAGTGCTGTCGCTGTGTCGGTTGGGAAGTCTGTCTCTGGAGACCGAGACCCCGTCGCTGTCGGCGCCGGCGCTGACGCGGCTTCGCTGGAAACATCAGCCATGCCTGTGATGTATATGATATCAAGATGAAACTAAAGTAAAAAAAATACGCTTTCAATTTGGTATGATGCGCGGTCGCCTATTCCATTCTTCGTGATGATGTTGCGTGTACATTGAGATGGTAACCTCCTGTCGCGCCTCAAACAGAAATTGCCGCCTCACACCGCCAAATTTCTTATCGCCACTTATCGAATGATTGAGCACGTGATCAAATTTTTTTTAAATAGCACCTACGACATACTGGTTGTGCCCTGAAAACCATTTGGTCTCATTGCTATTGGACCCTTTTACAGTGACTGCGAAATATTGCAGTGCGTTAAATAGGGCATTTCAACTAAGTTCTTGGGGTAGCATCACCATAGCTGCACAGGGCCCAGGAGTAGTCAATCAGCAAAAAGGATTTTTGTAAGTGCTGTTTTCGGAAGTTACGCCAGAACGGCCATGACTTGGCGCCAAAGTGTCTGGCCGACATCATGACGTGTGGATTTGGCTGTGTCACCAGTCGACGTCGTGTGTCTCGTTTCCACTTCCACGCTGTTCACGTAGTCTGTTGGTTATCAAGGGTCTGTTACTCAGCTCTCGTCGTCACATCTATGGCAGCTTCTTCGCACCCACGTCTTTCTGTCCTTTTGTCGCTTTGCGCGTCTACTTGTCGTCCCTAACACGACAAACGCCCCCTCCTGAGTTTTGACTGGACGAGAGGAAGATTTCACACACAAAGCGAAAAGGGGCTTTCACGAGCAGCTTTCCGTACGTTTGTTGCTTCCCCGGCATCGATTTGTTGGTCGTGCTCGGCGCCTTGATTCCCACCTTTACTCCGCATTCTGTGGGGGACAAAAGAGGAGAGGACTGCAAAATTGGCTTGTGACAGTCACGCATGCCGAGGAATGAGCCGCAAAGTTGAGGCGAACAAGGGGAAATAGGGGGATTAAGCAGCTAAAGCAGCCTAAAAAAGAAGACAACCAGATCAAGACGACGAGGTGCAGCAAAATCGAAAAGGCGCCATGTTCCTGCAATCAGATAGGCTAGCGGTGTTTGGAGGCCGGGGCAAACGACTGAGGAGACAAGACAAGACGACTATCTCCTATTATTTTTCTGGTTAGCAGGTTGGGTTAGCTTTCCATTTGGAGCAATTTATTTTTTGATGGGTATGGGGTAGCAAAAAGTACGGGGAAAACTTGGCGGGTGCTTTGAGATGGTCATCTAGAACTGGAAACCTGGCCGACGATGCATCGTAGAAATCATGCAGTACAACAACGGCACAAGCCGACGAAGCTGTGATGTCCTCGGTTTGGTGGCCAAACGAGGCAATGAACCTGGAAGAAGGGGTGTGCGCAAAGTTGAAGTGGTCTTTGTTGCTTGTGACTTTATCCATTTTTGTCTTCTCGCCGACTATCTTCCAAGATTTCTGTTGTTGTTTTGTTGCGTCGTTTTGCTGTTTTGCTTGTGCTCTCCTATGTTGTCCACAGTCTTTTCCGGCTAGTGGAATATTCTGTTCTAGACAAGGCCTGGCCAGAACCGTCTGGCGTCTGGTAAATGAGCGATCGGCACGATCGTGAGCAGAAGCAAACTTGACTTTCTTCCGACAAGGTGACCGCATGCTTTTGCGGTGGAACATTCTGGCCTTGATGGTACCAACGCGCCTGGATAGAAGATGTGCAAACGTAGTTTTACATTTATGATTTTTTTCTCTAGTTGTAATTAACTGACAAAAATTATCCAAAGAAAGAGCGAGAACGAAAAAAATTTATACCGAGCCAGACACCAAACGTGAAAACAGTGCAAGTCGGTCAAAAAGAGTAAACGAACGACCTAACGCCTGGCAATGGAGTAACCGTTATACTTGAAAAGCTTGTACAAGAAGACCAAGACTTACGTCGCAGAGCCGCACCAAATACATAAATCGGCGTATCAAAGCCTGGGTGGAAACAACATAGAAAAACCAAACCCCTCCCAAGCTCACAGAAAAGACATTAAAAACAAAAAAAACAAAAACAAACTGGTATTCCCGTATTCAGATATTCTTGTATTGGTGCCGACAAAGGAACCAAAAGTAGAAGCAAAATTTTGAAAATGAGAGGGCCAGGAAAAAAAGGAAAAAGGACGTTGACCAGGAACCCCTAATTATGCACATGAAAGTGTAAAGTGCAAGTGGAAAGTGAGCGGAGGCGCGAAATGGGGTCGTATGAACGAGAAAGACTAACCATGCTCGCCTGCTTCCCCCTCAACAGGGAAATGACTGCCTAAGAAAGAATAGACACTAGACTGCGTCCTTTCCTACTCCAGACGCTGTGGGTCTTCCGGCCGCCGTGCTGCAGTCGGCTGGGAGGGCGTTGTGTCGCCGCCAAGAGCCCACTTGTAGAACTTGGCCGGCCAGCGGACTGCGGGCTCGTCAACGTATTTGGTGACCAAGTTGGCCAAGATGAACGTCGCAGGGAAAATGATAATCTGGGGAGCCAAAAAGTTGAGTTCCAGACCCATGGGACCCGTCTTGGGAAGCTGGAAGCGGTTGATCCACCACTCCAGCATCTTATCGTGGTCCTCCACAACACGGTACCATCCGGTCATGGCGTAGGCGCGGTCACCAATGGACGCGAGCACCGGTCCGTGTACCAGGTACAGGGAGTACGAGATACGACCCAGGTACTGGCAGAAGGAGGACTCGAAGAAACGCTTCACCACAGGGATGTGCGGGGTGGTGCCGACAATCATGCCGGCAGCAAAGACGAGGTAAAACCACTTGGGATCAAAGACAGCCTGCGGTTTCAGGAACGACAGGTAGTACCAGCCAGGGTTGGAGCGGAGAAGCATAAGGTCGTTTTTCTGCGACGGCACGCCGGCCAGGAACATGCCGATGACGAAGAGCGTGTAGACAATAAAAGTCTTGTACGGCTGTAGCTTGTGGAGAATCGCAGGGAAGCCGGGGTCGTTGCGCTTCGCCAGGATGTCCAGATAACATAAGTAGATGCCAACCATAAACATGCAACAGTAGTAACCGTCGACAATGTAGAGGAAGTAAAACATGAGGCCGAGGATGATGACATGGCGGGCAAAGTGTGTCGTTCGGTAGGTGGCGAGCATCAACAAGAAACATATCATGGAGCCGCGCATCTCAAACGGAATTGACCACAAGTGGGTATTCATCGTAACCCAGATGCTACCTTCTTTAAAGAGGAACGTGAAATTCTTCAGCTCGACGTACCACTCCCACCACTCCTCGCCGATGGTGGCGTGTTGAGTCGAGTTGGAGACCCAATAGTGGCCGAAGATGTGCCATGAGGTGACGTAGAGGAACGTCGTAATAAAAATAGGAATGTAAAGACGGAACCAGCGGCGGAAGACGGATGAGGCCAGGCTGTCCAGCAGTTTCATGTGCTCGCCGGCCACGATCAGGGAGAGGCCCTTGGCGCACAGCACGTATCCCGATATGACATAGAAGAGCGCCACCGCTATGTGGCCGCCGGTGAAGAAGTTGCGGACAAACGGCAGCGTCGCAAAGTGGTAGCGATCCTTGAAGCCAAAGGCGTTCTCAAACGTCTCGTTGTCGCCGTTAGGACTGGCCGCGTGAGCCCAGAGCTCATTATGATGAATATACACCAAAAAGGCAGCAAAGCCACGCAGGCCGTCGAGGTAGGCTGTCGGACGGAGTGGCTTCTTCTCGCCGTCCTCGTCGGCCAGGCGGCAGGCGTTCCAGAACGACCGCAGAAAGCGCCGCATAGGGCGGGCATTCGGCTTTTCGTTGGACCACGCGCCGTCGCGCCAGACGGGAAGCTCGTGGGTTTCGGCCGGAGCGTTGCCGCCGTCGAGCAGCCCGCTGCTCGTCATTGTAGCTTTGTATTGGGGTAAAAAGAAAGAACCAAGAAACTGCTGTCCAGTTCGAAACGATAGTCGAGGGTAGGGGAGTAGAAGCACCAGATGGCGATGGTGGTCGCTGGGTTGGGTTGGTTGTGGAGGAGAAGGTCGGAGGAAGACGGCGTAAAGAGCCTGCTGCTGTTGATTAAGGACAGGCGAAAAAATTAGATTAGGGGCTAAGAAGCAAAGGGGCAAAGGAAAGAGGAAAGAAGCGTTGCCGGCATGAAGGCAAGGGCCCAAACAACGAAACAAGAAAGAGCGAAAGAAGAAAGAAAAAGTTGAACAAGTTCCAAACGGAAAGGGGGCAAGGTGAGGAAAGTGAGATGGAGAGAGGAGAAAAGAGGTAGGAGGTTGAAAGAAACTAGAGGTGAGCGCAATGGGGTGTGGGGATTCACAAGCGACTGTAAAATGGGACAGCCCGCCTGTAGTCGGCGCGACAAGTTTTTTGTCGTGTGCTTTGGGGGTTCTGCAGTCTTGTGCTTTCTGTCGCTCACTGTATGACGCCAGTATGGACTTGCAACATGCAGAGTATGTCAAGTACCTTCTCCGCACCCGGTGACAGATCGATCTACTTGCTTTGATGGCGATGGATATCAAGCCACTTGTTCACTGGCAACACTTCTGCATGGCTGGCTAGCAAACAAAAAGTGCATGTGATAATCCAGCGAGTTGCGGTGCTGCAATCGCAGCTGGAAGAAGAAACACAGAGTGGCTAGCTAAAATCAAAGTAAGATACAGTTTTGTGCTGAATAGTTCCTCGTTCGTGGTTCTAGTCATGTTTCGTGTCGTGCGCACCGTCAACTGTCATCGCCAGCCAGTTGTTTTGACTGCTGGTCGGTGTTCAAGACGATTTGCACAAGTACACATGGACCACAGGTTCCGCGAATCGGGACGGAGGAACACGGGCGAGCAACTTGGTGGTGCAGGAGAAGCGCGACTCAAGTCTCCATTTTGGAGGCTGTCTTCATATGCCAAGTTTCGCGTCAGCCACTTCTTTTCCCTGCGAGCCTGCGTCCTGCCTCCCTGCATTGTACGTTGCAAGAAAACTATGGCTAGGCCGCTGATGAGGATGCGCAATGCAGCGACAGCAGGGTTGCATTCAAATTCAAATCTGTGCGAGTGTGGGAAACGACGAGGAGGCTCGACAGGGTCTGAAATAGGGGCATGCCTGAAGTACCGAGTACGTTGTAGTGCAATATATGCCGGTGGTGTCGCTCAAGTCGCTGCAAATACAGGAGGCAATAGGACGTGGATCACAGTGCGAAGGAGCGGGGGTGAGCGTATCAATGCCGGCGCAGCAGCTGAATCCGTACTCCGTACTCCGTAATTGTTTGCGTCGGTATGAGGCAGAGGCACGCTTACTGTGTAAAAAGGTCCTTGAGATCACTCCGAATGTGGCGGTTTTGTTGGCGATCCAGATGAGTACGCACCCGTGCGGACTTGAGCGAGCCGCGTCTGACTCCGTATTTGTACCTACGAATACGATTTATATCTCCAACATACTCTCTCTGGAACGTCGTATCTCTCTTTGTTTTCAAGTGTTTCTGGGAAGGGAGAGCTGCCCGGGCCGCTACAGGAAAGGGATATACCATTGAGGTCGAATTTAGGAGATCCACCGAAGCCCGTAGGCGGGGACACTGGACGTATCGGCGTGCGTTAGAGCGTTTGTTGTATGGACATTAGGCCAGATATCGGATGACACAACGCAGGCATCGGTTTGCATTTGAAAACGGAGCGAGAATACAGAATGTTCTAACGGAATATGTACCGCGTACGGGCGTACAATGCTTTGTATATTGGAAAAGCATTCTTCCTCAGCGCGGCTGCGGGAAGGCCACATTGGCGCCAGGCCCATTTGTGCAGCGCTTTTAATTGCTGCAGGGGCAGTCTTTGCAGGCAGATGACTCGACACACCTCGCACAGCATTTGTGTATGAGACACCCATTACACATCGTGGCACGCAGCTAGATCAAGGACGATGTATATGTTGTCCATGTTAAATGATTGACGACACTGATGAGCCCTCACGATTCTTCTCGTGCTACAACGACGAAAGGCGTTTTACACACAGTGCCCAATATGTGACGCACAGTATTGGACTGTGCACGGGGGGGTGGCAAAGTGCGCCGACCCAGCTAAGTGGGCTGCAGAACAAAATGAAAGGGCGAGCCAGAAAAATATTCATTGATGCTGATCATGGAGGATTTCCAAATAAGGAGGCCACGGGCGAGCTGGCCAATGGGAGAGGCAGTGCGCAACGGAGATCCCAACACAACGGCAAGACAGTGCCATACCAGGTCGTCATTGCCAGGCTCGCCAGGGAACAATGGACGTTTGTCAACCTATCAGCCATCTGGGAGACTTGGACAGACTTTGTGTATGCGACGGTCACGTTGTAGAGTTGCCAGAAGCGGTCGTCTCATGATAGAGGTGCATGTAAGGCCAACGAGAAGTGGGAATCGACTCAAAAAAGGGGGCAGGAACAGACAGAAAAGAACCATGGCGACAAACTACACCGGAATAGTACAAATTGAAATAGCAAATATGGGGAAGGTGGAGGAAAATGGGGCTAGAAGCTCGAGCGAAAACAAGACACGAAAAAGCAAAATCTGTGTCTAGTTTTGCTGAGCAGAATGCGCAAAAAAGAAAAAATTTGGTCCGCTATGCTTCGTTGCATCTTGTCTGGCCCCATTATTTTGTCGAAAATGGAAGGAGGACGACGGTCCAGCGGAAAATATTATATGGAAATATCAGATGCATATCAGAGGCATGGCGTTAAACAAAGGGAGATGGGCGAAGACAGGCTGCGTCAATGTCAGCAATGCTTCAAGGCAGAGACGAATTTAGAATAAATGAAGAGACGCGGGCTAACTGAGACAAAAGCTGAGGCGAACTAGCAAACAAACAAACAAACCGACCGACAGACAAACTCGCAGAGTAAATAGAAGGGACAAAGAGACAAAGTGAGTAATAAAAGGTTGGAACGTAAAACTGGGACGGAGTGCTGCGTTTTGTCTTACTTCTCTGACCGTCACGCACACAACACACACAACGAGCCAAAAATAGGAAGGCTCCGTGGTCGTCTTGGGAGCAATTCCAGTCCAGCCCGCCTCTTCGATGTTCTGAGTTTTGTGAGCCAAGTCTCGCTCGGTCTCCACACTCCGCTAGGGAAAAGTACCATCCCGATGCCCGCAGCCAGATTGTTTACGACGTAGGCTGCGATGTACGGCTAACGGATATGGATGAGACACCGTATTGCAGTGCCGCGCACGCGTTTTGATTAGCGCGGCGGTGCTTGCTTTATTGAGAATCTATTCGCTCCCGAAATGAGAGTTTGAAGCCTAGATATGATAATACAAGGCAGTTTGAGGGGCCTGAGGCGGTCTCCAGAATGCATCGTCTTTCGAATATGCACGAAAATTGAAGCGGGAGACGTAAACGATCAACGCGAGGACAACCCGAAAACAACGGCCAAAATTATTCAGGGGAACGAAGCAGAGAATCGAATGGCTTGGCACTGGCTCCACTCCCTCTCCCGCGGAACACGACCAAGTTAAATCGTACAGCAAGGAAAGTGTACGCATCCACGGACAACCTATGCTGCATGTTTGATTGGCTGGCCGAGGATGCATGGCCCTTTCATGCCTTCAAAGGCAGAATGGCTTAGCTATGTCGCCGGTGATTCGGTAGGGCAGAGCAGGGCCATGGTTAACTTCGGAGACCCCCGTGCAGCGGCATGGCTCTCACTGCCATCTGCTGCAGTGAGCATACCTCCTCCCTCTGCCATTGTCCACGCAGCCACTCCCGCATTCGTGTTTGGGGCCGTTTAAGCGCGACGCGCATCCTTGGAAGGGAATCCTGTTTTAGGTGCTTCCAGCTATGACATACAAGGCGTTCTTCTCACAGCCATATCATATTTACGACATACGGAATACCTGTTTTGGGGATGAATAGCTAGAGGCCTCTACCTGAAGATATTGACGTATCTTGGCCACATTGCGCGTCTCGACTGTTCCCGTCCGCCAACCCTCGACAATACATCTCAGAAAGTAACAGTGGCAAGGATTGAAGGACACCGTGCCGCGAGAAACTCATGTATCTTGCCTCAAAGGTCAGGCGGCGCTCTAGGCGGAAGAAGGAAGGGTTGGATTAGAATACTTCTACATCGTAAGATAATTGGCTGCCGTGCACGCCTCGCCGACAGCCAAAGGCATGACTGCACAGTGGTTATGTTTAATGTTTTGTACCAAATCGTTAACAAAACAGGCATGTGATGGAGGCTGCGAGGAACTTTTCATGCGCTGTGAGTTGCCATGGCATGAATAAGGAACACACTCGAAAATAAAATAAAATAAAATAAAACAACAAGAACGCCCCGTTTGCGGACATGAACCCTTGGTGGCGGTGATGCATAAACTCTCCAACCAGGTCCTTCGAGGTCATGATGGCTGGTAATACAGTGCCATAGGACATGGGCGATGCGAATAGTCTGCTGTGTTTGGTAGTTGCAAGGGACCTGCGCCTTTCCTTGCCGAATGTCTCTTCGTATTGTGCTCCGTATCTCATAGTCGCCACGGCACATGCGGCCCTGGTCAAGACTTTGGCGATTCCTCGTTCCTTCCTTTGCACTTCATCCGTGTTCGCGACGGGCCATGCAATGGCCCCGAACGGGCTCCTCTGTCGTCTTTGCAGTCAATGAGTGCTGGCTTCCGTATTTTACAGTCTAGCGAGGCCACATTGTGCTTCCAGACACTGGGGGCCCAACACGAAAAAGGGGGCAGCAATTACGGCAAAAACATAAGGAGCTAGTAGTACAACAGCACCAAAAACTGCTTTTTTTTTATATAAAAAAAAAAAAAAACAATGGCGAGACTTTCAAAATCGCAAAGAATAAAAGGGGTAGGCATGGATTGGCCAGGCCTGGCCTTGTTCGCCATGCACATCACTTTATCTCCCATCTCTTTTCTCCTTGCGGTAGGCACCCCCTGGTCTGTTCCTTCCCCGTCAACGGATGCTCCGCCTTTCTCCTCTTTTACACGAGGGTTTGCGAAGCTTCTTTTGTTACGGCCTATTCTGTAATTTTTATTTGTTTTTCGAAAAAATTAAGATGCAAGAAAAGAGCCGTAGGTCGTTTATCTCCATTGACAGCCACATCTCGGTCCTCGCTCGATAAACCCAGATGGCCTGGCCACTCCCGCAAGTGCCACGCCACAACAGGGCTCGCAGGGGTACGCTTGATGAACGCCCCTCCGAGCCAGGCATGCCCTGTCAATACAAGCCCACCCAGTCTGCACAATGAAATTTGCTGTATCTCACGCAATCGTCGTCTGCCCCCGTCTGCCCGTCTTAGCCCATCTCCAGTTCCCCAGTGCCTGCCGCTAGCCAAAAAGACCGCGAGAGTGGTCTAATTCCAGTCGCTCTGCTTCGCACATTATGGGGGCGTGTAATTTGGCGCTAGCGTAGGAGCCCAAGAGCCCCAAAGCAAGCCCCTGTCTGATTTCTACATGCGTACGCTAATTGCACGCCCATCATTCGCCGCAGTTCCTGGTCCTGCCCTGCTGCCCTACTCAGTACGAAGTAATACGACTGGCAAAAGCTTGTGAAAGCGTCTGCTGGCAGTTTCGAGTGGCGCTCCTGCCTTGTTTGTATCCTCTCGCGTCTTTCTTGCCTCTGACGCCCGGAATGACCATTCACATTGTCCTTGTTTTGTCGTCTCCGGTTCTTTCGTTTTCCCCGGTATCGTTCTTTCCACTCCCTTTCCTCCGCCCTCCACACCACTACTCGCGCCTTCCCTTCCATATCCCGCAACCAGGAACGCTCCTGCTCGCTAATTGCCTGTGCACCGTGCCACTATCGACACACTTTCTTCTCTTCCATCCGCTCTTTCCTTTGCTGGGCGCCGCTTGTTGTTATGGCTTGACAATCGGCCGGTGGTTCTTTCTGTATGTCGTATTACCTGTCCTCCAAAGCCACAGTTGCCATTGTCTCCACGTGAGCACCATCAATTGCCAGGTGGACCAGCTCTCGTTTAATGGCAAGCACCTAGACTAAAAGGCACCGTACTGATACAGTGCGCGTCAAATGGCAGCAGGAGCCAAGAGCCACACGATAAATCAGCGCCTTCCTAATCCGCACCCCCCTCCCCCATCCCCTAATCCAAAAAAATCTTTCCCTACTTTCGATATCGTCCCACCTCTCGCCCAGCGCCCGCTTACATTCTGTTTCTCGTTATTTTCCCTTTTCAATCCTCGATTATTTTGGCCTGGCTTGGTGGTAACCGCCCCCTATCTCCCTTGGCCGTCCTCCGCCTTGCTCTTTTCCGCTCCACTTCCTCCTTTTTCTCGTGTCCGTTTTCTTTACCTAGTTCGCTTTTTCTCTCTCCTATCCTCTCTACTCTTTCTTTTCTTCTATCCTTCCCCCCTTACATCTGTCGTTTCTTTTCTTCCTTCCTCACGTTTTCTCTCTATTCTTATTCTGCCGCCGCCTTTCGTCTTTTTGTTTGTCTGGTTGTCAACTTTTCCCTTGCCGTCGCGCAAGGCTTACGTTCGTTACGCTCGTTTTTTTCCCGACTCTTGACGAGGCCTGGGTTCGCTGACCCCATTGCCACCTTTTATTTCATCGCCATCTCCCAAGACAACGCGCACGCGCAGATATGTCCCAGCATTCATCACGCTCGTCATCTATCACCGAGAAGATGACGCCTCCGGGCTCCCCGCGAACACCGGCGTCGGCCTTCGCAGCCACCACAGCTAAAGCCATGACTTTCATGCCAAGTATCCCCGATTGGATCCCAGAATCGGTCCGGCAGAAGCTCCAGTATGCACAGCTCGTCTACGTGCAGACGTACAACAAGGCTTCGCCTATCGTCGCGCACTACTACATGGACGTGTCCAAAAACATGCCCGTGGGCATTCCCGCACGGCTACGCAGACTCGCCAACGTCTACGCCGTGGTCGTATGCGTTCTGTTGCTCTTCGTCCACCTGAGCATGTCCTCGGGTTCCGCAGCCGCCCACCGTGCGGCCACTGCTGTTGGCACCGTCCACAGCGACTTCCCCCACAAGATTTGGCAGACGTGGAAGGTCAACCCGCTCGAGTTTGAGGAGCGGGAGCACAACACCGCGTACTCGTGGCTCGCCCGCAATCCCGACTACCAGTACGAGGTCTTGACTGACGGCAACGAGTATGCCTACGTCGAGTTTCACTTCGGTCCGGAGGGTTTCAACCGCCCCGACATTGTCGACTTCTACCGCAATGTGCGTGCGACCATTGTGCGCGCCGATCTGCTCCGCTACATGATTATGTATGCCGATGGTGGCGTCTACGCCGACATTGACGTCGAGGCCCTCAAGCCAATGAGCAAGTTTATTCCCGAGCGGTACAACAAGCGTGACATTGAC